TGAACTCAGGTCCTTATGCTTGCAAGGCAGGCTGTGGAACCACTGAGCTAAATCCCCAGCCCCCCACTCTTTTTTTTTTTTTTTTGAGACAGGGTCTCACTGTGCAATTGAGACTGACCTGGAACTCACTCTGTAGCCCAGGCTGGTCTCAAACTCAGAGCGATCCTCCTGCATCGGCTTCCCCAAGTGCTGGGATTACAGGCATGCGCCACCACGCCCGGTTCAAATATTTAACCCATGGGTGGGAATTATATCTATCACTTATATCTTTGGAAATCAAGTATAAGAGACAATCTAGAGAATGTGCAAAATGATAACCCTAAATATGATTTAATAATAAGCCAAAGTTTAATATGCATTTAGTAAGAAAACATTGGAAGGAAGAAAATAGACCTATTTTGGGAGACCAAAGACTTCTCTGACCCAGGTTTGCTATTTATCATATACAAACTTGAACAACTGTCTAAATCTTTCAGGCTACCACTTTCTCATGTGCAAGATGGTAGATTCTGGAGGCTTTTAAAACTTAAAAAAATTTTATATGAGAAAAGGAAAAAATGGAAACAAAGTCTTTGTAAATAAGGAGGGTGAAGGTTGGGCAGGGGAATGGGGAAAAAATAAGAACCAAGAGATATCATGTAAAGGTTCAAGATCCCAGTGATGAATGTAACTGTACTGTATACCTAAAAGGCATTAATAAGCTTAATGGAAAATTTTTAATTGACACATAATTGTATATATTTATGGGAAACAGCATAAAATTTTAGTAAATGCACACAATGAGTGATAATTGTATCAAAATAATTGGTATGTCTGTCACTTCATACATTTATGATTTCTTTCTATTGGGAACATTAAAAAACTTCTCTTCATTATTTTGAAATACATAATTAAATATAATCATCAAGTGTAGTTATTGTGGCACAAAATGTGAGAAGCTATTGCTTTTATCTGACAGGCATTTTTTACAAGTTTTATTTCTAATGTGCTCTTCATATTCATTTGCTAAGACTGCTACGCAAAGAGCCCAGGTGAGGTGGCTCAAAGGTGAGGTGGCTCTTATCTCACAATTCTAGATACCAGAAGTCTGAGATCAGGTGTCAGCAGAGTGGTTTCTTCTGAGGGCTGTGAAGAAATGGTCCCTTCTATGACTTCTGGTGTTTTTTTTTTTTTTTTTTTTTTTTTTAGGTACCGGGGATCAAACTCTGGTCCTTGAGCTTGCAAGGCAGGCCACCAAACCGCTGAGCTAAATCCCCGGCACGACTTCTGGTGTTTTGTTTGTTTTTTGGTAGTCCTTGACCTGTAAATACACAACTCTTATCTTTTTCTTCATTTTCACATGGTGCTCAACCTGTATTCATGCCACTGTATCCAGATTTCCTCTTTTTATGAGAATGCAGTTATATTATATTAAGGCCCAGCCTAATGACCTTTCTCTTTTTTTTCTTTTTATTGTGTTTATTGGTACATTCTAGGTATACAGTACAGTTACATTCATTACTGGGATCTTGTACCTTTACATGACAGGTCTTGGTTCTCATTTTTTCCCCTCGTCCCTACCCTCCCTTCACCCTTTCCTCCCCTCCCCATTTACAAGCACTTTATTTCCATTTTTTCATTTTCTCATATTTTTTTCTTTCCTTCTTTTTCCCCTCGTCCCTACCCTCCCTTCACCCTTTCCTCCCCTCCCCATTTACAAGCACTTTATTTCCATTTTTTCATTTTCTCATATTTTTTTCTTTTCCCTTATTCCCTTTCCCCTACCCTTCCCACTTTCCCTACACCTTTAGCCCTTTTCTTCCTATTTCACATTGTTAATTATCTCATTAAGATCTTATGTACTATTATAGTTTTTCACACCAGAGAAACTATTCAGTATTTACACGTGTGACTTATTTATTTCACTTAGGAGTAAATCCTCAAAATGAATCCATTTTCTTATGAATGACTCTAATTTCTCATTCTTTATGGCTGAGTAGTATTCCAATGACCTTTCTTAATCATCTATTAAAGCTCTGTTGCCATGTAAGATTGTGATCACAAGTATTAGAGGCTTGGGTCTTCGAAGTATTTTTAGTGGAACAAAATTCTATCCATAGCACTCTATTTCCAGTTTTGTGGGCAGACTTCCTGGAAACTATCTGACTGTCTAATTTTCAATTTTTAATTTTTTTATTAGTACATGTTTGCAGTACATAATGACTACATTCCTTGTGGGGAGTTGGCAAATGTACATAACACATCTTAATTCTTTTTTCATGCCCTTCTCCCTTCCCTCTTTCACCTCTTCCTTTTGTACAAGATCTATCTCCCTTTTTCTTATTATCTACTTTTTCATTTTGCTCTTTATTTATAGTTTGGGTTTCTCATATAAGAGAAACCAAACAATATATAAGTTTATGCATCTGATGTATTTCAATTAACATTATGGTTTCAAGTTGTCTCCTTCTGTGGGCCCTCAGCCAGTGGTTGGCCTCCTCCTGCTTTTCTGTACAAAGAGCACATACTCAGAAGACTGATGAAGCCCAATTGCGATGTCTGTTTTAGTTATTTTTCTCTTTGCTTAGATAAAATATTCAACATTCAAAGTTAAAGGAGGAAAGGTTTATTCAATTCACAGTTTGTAGAGGTTTCAGTCCATAATCACTGGCTCCAAGGCAGGGTGGCATGGCAGAGGGGCATCACAGGGGAGAAACAGTTTTTACGGTGAGCAGAAGGTAACAAAGCAACACAGGATGGCTGTAGCTCTTTCTATCCCTTATATCTTATCCAGGCTACTTAGAGCAGGTAGCACTCATACCCTTAATCTTAGTGCTCTTGATCCTAGCATTACACCATGAATCAATTCTAGCGTCACATACTCTAGATATAGCCACCTTTGAAAAAGCCCCACCTGTGACCCATCAGGCTTTGTGAGACATCTAGACACAATCCATAACACAATTCTTTCCAAATTGTGACATCAGGCAAGACACATTACCTCTCTGTTTCTTCATCTTTTAGATAGGGGAAGGTAGGCTTGCTGAGAGGACAAACAGCTAAATCAAAGTATTCTGCTGGCATACGGTTAAATGTCGCCAAATTATGATATTACATGTATTAGTTTTAGTTTAAGGAGAGAATGAGTTAGCAACTCCCAACCCTGCATGCAATAGAATTGTCTCGAGGAACTTTAAAATTTCTGGTACTCTGGCCTTATGAAAGATTCCATCTGCATTGGTCTGGGATGGGACTCAGGCACTGATATTTTTAGAAGCTCCTAATTTATTTTAATATGCACAACCACGAGAACAGATGATAGGATTGAAATAGTAATTGGACATTCTCCATGAAGTTGGATGTCAAAAGGGGAAGATTTGTAGTTATGTAGCCAGAGTGTCCATGTTGTGGTTAACGATTGACAGTGAAAGCCAGAGGCAGCTCTTGGACAATATGTGAATTAGGTGACCTGGCTTTCAGAGCCATTTCTTGCTTTGTGACAGTTTTTGCTCAGGCTATTTGAAGAGAAAGTATCCCATTGAAACCTTGCTCTGGGTGCTCCTTCTGTGTCATAGTAAACCTCCAGCCACTTGCATGCTCCTTGGTGCCTGCTCTGGGTGTGTTTTGCATAAGGAATACTCCTGAAGAGTTAGCCCTAGATAATGGCTTGATGTGCTACCTGCCTTTGAGCAGCACTCATTGCAAAAATCAAAGATTCTCCAAGAGAGGAAATTTTAGAAACCCCTCATGTACTCATGGTATGGGAACACTCTGCCCACTACATTGGAGCTGCCTGCTTCTAGTAAGCATGACACCCCAGGCCCCTACTCTTGGGATCTAGGTAGTTTTATTTCACAGATAAGTGTCTCATTCCATCACCATAACCGTGCATGAATGTGGGCTCTCAAGGTAGCTGGCTGGGCAATGGCAGGAGGCGGCAAGCTAGCTCTTGCTAGTTTTGGTCAGTTCAGGGGCAGCTTTTAGTTCAAAAGTCTTTTGGCTGAGTGAGGAGGGCAGCTGCAAGCAGCACTTCTTCCTCGTGAAACGCTCCAGCTGCTCTGTCTCTTGTGAGCATCCCTGGCTTCTGCAAGCCTTGGTTTTATTCCAGTGCCACCCTATTATATTCTTTTTAAGTAAGTATCTTCAACCTTTTTTGAGGTCCCAGGGTCTCCACAGTGCTTCTGGAAGATGACCAACTTTTTGTTCAGTGAGTGAATGAGTAATAGTGAAATGAAGTGATATGTAAAAAGAATTAATTTTTAATGACAATGCTACATAAATTCTCCCAAATTTTTATTGCAAAGAGATTAGGAATGTCCATTTGTTCTTTGGCAGAATTAATAAAAGTAGAAAAATGAAAAGAAAGGAAATAATAATTCTTTAGATTCTGACATATTTGGAATAGTGTGCTTGGTCTGACATTTTCTGTTCCTTTGATTTTAGTCAAGAACATATCAGAAGGAAGAACAGACAGTGACAGTTTTCTTCACAAAGCAAGGGGTTATATCTCCAATTGGCAAGAAGGATTTGATTAAATTTGAATTAACTTTGACTTCTGTAAGCTCAAAGGAAAAGGAAATAAAACCTGAAATGGAGAAATCCTTCAGCTAAACCCAGAAACTCTGCACCTGAATTTATCTCACTGTTCGTTAATAATTTGCCTTCTGCTCTGGTATTTGGAAATTGTGTTCAGTGGGTAAAGTGGGGAGTGCTATCTGCGTATCTAGAGAACAAGAGCTCTCTGGATTGACCCAAATGGGTTCCTGCTGTCATTTCAGATGGAATTCATCTAGTTAAGCATGAATTTCCTGGCAAGCACAAGGGTAGGTTTTTCCAAAAGGCATTTTAGACCACGAATGCCCAGCCTTTCCATTTCTAATCATGAAAGCAAAACATGGGACACACGCTCTCTGTTTCCAGCTGGTTGTGTATGTTTTCTTCACACTGCAAAAACAACGTGCCAAAGTGTGACCTTTATAAACCCCACCAACTTGGAGCTGTGCACACAAATCTGTGTTGCCTGTAGTATGGGAAAGTAATGAATGGGGGCTGTTCTGCCGGGAGGGGAGAGCTGCTGTCACTCTGGCATGCTTGCAGCCTTATTTATTGCACACCAAAGTATAAAACCACCCAGCCCGGCTGTAGTTCTCATCTTCAGCCCTGGCATTTACCCGCGGAGACCACAGCACCTCGGAGGCCCCGTCATCTTCCCAAAGAGGCTCTCTGGCTCTGTTGAAAATCATGCTTGGGAGGCAGCTCATGTGTTGGCACCTGTTGGCTTCATTTTTTCTCCCATTTTGCCTGTGTCAAGATGAATACATGGAGGTGAGCGGAAGAGCTAATAAAGTGGTGGCAAGAATAGTGCAGAGCCACCAGCAGACTGGCCGTAGCGGCTCCAGGAGGGAAAAAGTGAGAGAGCGGAGCCATTCTAAAACTGGGACTGTGGATAATAACACTTCTACAGACCTAAAAGCTCTGAGACCAGATGAGCTACCGCACCCAGAGGTGGATGATCTAGCCCAGATCACCCCGTTCTGGGGCCAGGTACTCTGAATTCTCTTCTAAGGATTTTTATGAAAGCTGAATGTTGTTATTGTTGTTGTTGATGATGATGATGTTTGGGCTAAGATTCTTATAATCAGTACTTGACAGCAGTTTGCTTAAGCTGTGTGTGGGTTGCTCTGGGCTAAAAAGGTGACTGCCAGTCTCTGGCAATGATGTGCTGGGATAGAGTGGCCATAGCATTGCCTCATTAGAAAGGGAACTGGGCAGCCAACTTCTTGTTTTTCTGGGTTTTGATTTCTTTCTTGCTCTGTTGGTGTAGAAAAAAGTGCTGACCAATGCAGATAACATATCACTACAGATAGTCATCTGCTGATCCTAAGACAGACTGTCTTCATTCTTCTCAGCAGGGAGAAGCTGTCCTTAGAATTTGCCAAAATCTGTCAAAGGCTTTTACTTTGATTTGTGAGTTTACTCTGACTCATGCCAGCCTTGTTTGTTTGATTTATATTATTCTAGGTTGCTACACCTCTATGTAACTTTTAAAAAAAGAATCTAAGAGTTTAATCCCAAAAAGGTTTAACATTTAAAATAGAAATTATACTCTATCACTTGAAGCCTGATGGTGATAGAGGGGTTGTTTCTTCGTGCATACACTCAGCATCTAAGGAAATTTCTTTAACTCTTTGAGGGTGGTATAGGAGTGAGTTGAGATGTCGCTGTAGCAAATTGCAAATTGATGAAGCCCAATTTAATTTAAAACAGTAAAAATAGGAATAACAGATTTTGACTTACATCCTAAGCATGCTGAAATTGGATGGGCACAGTTACCTTTAATTATATGATCTTTATACCAGTAGCCTTTGCTACAAGAACTAATGGCTTTTATGCATTAAGTGGGCCCAGAAATAATTCGTATGATCGAAATCTAAACCCCTCTAGGCACAGATTGAGATGTTTGGATTTATTATCTGGTTATATACTCAGACCATCATCACACAGACTTGGGTGCAGATCTGGGACTAATCTGGAACTTCTAACTGAACCACACAATGCAGTTTTCCAAATCTTTCTGTGGGGTTGTGCCAGGGGGAAGTTGCTTCTTTAGGGAGCCACAGGAGAAATGATAATGTTTAAGTAGGATGCCTCCTTCAGAGATCGTCCTTTTATTCAACAGTCTTTGGGCTGAGGACTGATTAATGCTAATTTGTGCTTTCTTTAGCGGTCAAAGCATTTTAACTTTTGATCAAATCATGACCTAGGCTTTTCATTCCATTGGAAGGTGTCCTTCCTGGACATGACAATGTGAGCTCCCAAAGACAGCAGCAGAAAGCAGTCACAGAGTATCATCAGTGGTTATTTCCTGGCCACCAACACCCAGCAAAAAGTCCAAATTAAATTTGTACCCCCATCTTCTAGTCTTGGGTTCCTGAAACAAACCTGATAAGGAAATTTAGAGCCACTGATATTCTGGAAGTTTTCTCAACAGTTTTTCAACCAATGGATATGGGTAAACTGAATTTAGGGTTATAATCTGTTCTTTCTTCTTTCCCTACTCTTTCCCTCTCTCTTCTTTCATCTTAATTCTCCCTTTTCTTCATCCATCACTCTGCGAAGCATTACTTGGGCTTCTACACTGATCCAAGCTTTAGGATGGGGACCAAGAATGTAAACACACCTAAGCCTTTATTTCCAAGCCGTAGGATTGTAGTGGGGAAATGTTGTTAATTTAATTGATTAATTAAGTCTGATTAAATACTATGTGATAAACATGGTTACTGTATACACAAAAGGCAGTTGGGAAATAAAGCAGTGCTAATTCTTGAGTTGGATTTTAAAAGATTAGACAGAAAGAAAGGCAATTCACAGAAGATATATATATCTATAGATTATGCCCTAGGAAGAGATTTGAGAGAGCCTATAATGAGATAGGTGTGTCTGGATCTCCTTAGTTATAAGACAAAGACATTAAAGGATTTGAATACCAGGCTGGGAGGGATTCTTCTAGCCAATGAAGGAGCTTAGATCTTGTTATCAAAACTTTTGTTTCTTTTTCATAACAGATTGATGAAGTAATCATATCTTTAAAACAATAGGTGGGTATAGAATTCATGTGGACCATTGTAGGCAGGGGTTTGGGGTGGGCATACCTATATTCTCTTTTCCTGCCATTTTCTTCTCCATAGCCTCTTTGTCATTCTTCTCAATTTCCTATCCCCTTCCTGGAAATTCATTTATCCTTTTCTCATTTCCCTTCTCTTTGTTTCTCTTCTCTCTTCTTTGGATTGAAGAAGGAACTAAGGACTTTCTTTCTCATTAATAGTAGCACTCACTTCTGAAGAATTCCTCTAGGCTCCCATCTGCAAAATGGGTGGGTTTTGTCTTAGAGACAGTCCTTTCCTCTCATGCTGCTCATCTGCATGACTTCAGGACACACATTCTACCTGATTTTGGAAGAGGGGTGATAAGCTTAAGAACATAATAGAGAGCAATATCATATCTGAACTAACTCATCCTGTCCAACTTGTTCCAAGTCCATTAAAACCTCACCAGTGTTGTTGCATTTGAATGAACTTTGAAAGACAAGGCCAGAGGGAGAAGAATGTGATAAAGGTCATAGGAAGGTTCTCAAGTTGTACCCAATTGTCATTACTCAGAAGTCTTGCTTGGCACTGGTGGAAACTTTGTGTTTTTTATGTGTTCCAAAGTTAGTTTGCTCCACTAGTCCTAGCTAGCTCTGGCACTGAGCCACCCCGTCTTCTGGTGCACAGACACTGGACACTTTAAAATTTTTTTTCTAAATTATTGTTTGAGATTTTGGAAAAGCTTCAGGTCCTCTTGTTTGCATCTTACAAGTAGGCAGAAAACTCATGACTCACTCCTCTATTTAGCAGACAAGAAAACTTGATGTCTATGAAGAGTGATTTTTCTAAGGTCATACAGAGCTGAGATGGGAATTCTGGTTGTAGTCCAGTGGCTGTTCTGAATTCTTAAGTATCCCTGTATTTTCACTCTGTTCTCACACAAATATTTCCATTTCAAAACTTTCCCTCTTTCTTTTCTCTCTGATTCAAAATCTATCATTGGTAGAACTCCAAGGTTTAAATGCTGCATTTCACATTCACAAAACCCCCACATAATTCAGAGCACATACTTCTCAGATTGCATCTTCATTTGGAAGGTGAGGTGATGCCATAGTGTCTTTACTTTCTAAGTGTCCCCAAATCCCTGTTTTAGACCTGTTGCTGTAGTTGATGTTTCTTCCCTGTACCAATTTGACAAAAGGTTTTCATAGACTCTATACCCGTCCTGGGTTTGGTCTAATAGAATGAAGACAAGACTAAGAGTTAACTTCAAATTGTAGCTTGTGATTCTGCACCTCTTGGGTTCTGAGTGGTGGCAGAATTTTTGGTCCACAGGCTACTCTGTGTGCTTTTCTCTAAAGGACTTTGTGGAAAACTCAAGAGAAAAGGGAGCACAAAGACTATGCCCTCTTTTTGCTCAAACAAACAAATAAATGTGAAGTCTAAATGTACTATAATATGAAGTTTTCATGCAGCTTCCTGCTTGGATTTCTAGTAATGTAGAAAACTGGAGTTTTATATTTTTCCCTGTAAACTTCTCTCTTTCCCCCTTTCTTGTCTCTGTTCCCCCTCCTTCCCTTCCTTTAAAAAATTAATTCCATAGCAACAAGACGCTGTTTTCAAAAGACTGTTGAATTATAATTGGTGTCTACAAAAGTTTCCACAAGTATTTTGCATGACATAATTAAAAGACAAGTTGCCAAGTTAGATGAGAACTCACATTTTATAAGCAACTCTAACTCTCTGTCCCATCGGCTTTCATTAAATCTCTAGCTCCTTCACAGTAAGTATATATTTTAGAAATATATTTTTGTACAAGTGAGCATTTTACTTTGTGTCATATTTGAGCATAATGAGTTTGAATTTCGTGAACATTAAGTATTGGTTTGAACAGCAGTACAATCACTTTAAACTTTGAAAAAGAATATTTGCAGCATCACATCTTATTAAATATTTATAAAGTAAAGTTGTTTTAAGATATAAATATTTAATAAAAATTTATTGGACACATAGTTTATAATAATGTTTATATTCTTTACAATTGCTAAGAGAGTAGATTTTCAGTATACACACCACTGGAAAAAGTATGTGAGGTAATGAATACATTAATATAATTTCTATTTTTCAATAAAAAAGATGAATATATTGTTTTAAAGAGCACTTTATTTTGTTAATTTCCTAAGGCAATTTAAGTGCACTGTGGTTATTTGAAATGGTAGTATTATAGCTTAGAGTTTCTAAGAATACTTAACCCAACTTATAAATCAGTATCAAAAACAATGTTTAATAGCTTGTTTGAAGTAGTTGATTTTGTAATTTGAGGATCATTTGTCTACTCATTTTTGCTATGTCAGAGGGTCTTGGGTACTGCAAAAGAGGGAAATCTTTAAGTCCAATTCTGAAGGAATTTCTGGTTTTGCTGTCCTGGGTAGTAACAGGAAAGCACTATCTGGAAACATCGCCCCCCTCTCTTCACAATCCATTCTCACATAGTCCCAAAGTGCATGTTGCTCTGACACTTCCTGTTCTCTTCCTGCCTTAAATTATCCACTCATTTTAGCTACTCCTTGAGTCCTAAGCCTTGAAACCCATACTGTCTTTTCTGATTTAGTTGTGGAGTGACTGAAGTTAAACTTACATAAAGGTCAAGGCCAGAAGAAAATTAAAAATTCCTGATTGCTCACAAGTGCCTTTCCACTAAATTTATATCTTTTTAAAGTCTCCACAAACTGGAGGACTGCCTCCAGACTGCAGCAAGTGTTGTCATGGAGACTACAGCTTCCGGGGCTACCAAGGACCCCCTGGACCTCCAGGCCCTCCAGGCATTCCAGGTAAGGATGGTAGAGATGCAAAGTTATACCACCAATCTAATTTCAGACATTGCTGGTGGGAATGTAAATTAGTACAAGCACTATAGAAACTAGTAGGAAGAATCTTCAAAAAGCTAAAATTCCACTTGACCCAGCTATTTCCCTACTAGGCATTTTTCTGAAAGATTTAAAGACTTCTATTACATTGATACATGCATACTCATATTTATAGCAGCACAATTTATAATAGGTAAGTCTTGGAAATGTCATATACATATCAACAGATTGGATAAAGAAAATGTGGTATTTATACACAGTGGAGCACTACTGTGCCATAAAGAAGGATAAATGTGAGTCATTTGTAGAAACACGGATGCACAGTGAGACAGTAATGTTAAGTGAAACTAATTGGACACACAATCTTAAATATGGCATAGTTTCTCTTATATGAGAAACTCATAATAAAAATAAAGAACAAAATAAATGATAGATAATAGAAAGTAGGGAGACATACCTTTTTCCAACAAGAAGGGATCAAGAGATGGAGCAAGGAAGGAAGTAGGAGAGGGGAAGGGAACGCAAAAAAGAGTTGAGATGTGTTATGTACATATACCAACTCCCCACAAGGAATGTAGTCATTATATACTGCAAACACGTACTAATAAAACTAAAAATAAAATTTAAAAAGAAGAATAAAAGACAAAACCCAAAAAGAGCCAATGGAAATCCTAAATAATTTGGGATTGCTGTAGGGTATACATGGAAATCTCAAAAGAAAGAGAGTTGTGTAGGAGAGTTGAGTTTATTAGGTCAGTTCAGGAGGAACACTACAAACTCTGTAGTGTTTTTTCTCTACTCAGAGAATCCAAATGGCTCCAAGCACCACGGAGAACCTGACTCATAGGTTGGGTGGATCTTTGTCAATATTGAGAATAGAACGAGTAACTCTTGCAACCTGCTCTCTGTGCCACTGCAGTAGTTGGCTCTCTGCTACCATAGCAAGTACCTGAGATTATCAACTCACAAAGAGAAAAGGCTTGTTTTGTCTCACAGTTTTGGAGGTTTAGTCCATAACTGAATGGCCTCATTGCATTTGAGTGTATCATGGGGCCACACACATGGTGAGGAACAAAGCTCTTTACCTCATGGTGGCCTGGCAGTGAAAATGCAGAAGAGGAAGCTATGAAGGTCCCACAGCTCACTTCAGGGGTTTTGTTCCAGTGACCTATGGCCTCCCACTAGACCCCAACTCTTAAAGTTTCTACCACCTCCCCAAAGCACTATACTGGCAGTGGGGACACTTATCTAAACCATAGCAGCCAGTATTTCTGCCACAGTGTGCTTTATGCAGTTCACAATATGTAACTTTCAGGAGATTTATGAAATAGAGGCAGGCAGAGAGGAAAGCATACTGGGCCAAATCATAGTCATCTCCATGGTGTCATTTACTAAGTGGCACACCTTTCCATGTGATTCTAAGTTGAGCTAAGCCCTCCACCCCTAGTCTGAATGGTCTCTCAGCTGATTTTCATGCCTCACTTGGGCTTATGGAAACATATCTGAGCTCCAACACTACAGAAAGACATAGAAATACTCAGAGCTACATTGGCTTTCTTTAGACCCACAGTGTGGCCATCTATACCATACTTCTCCAGTCTCAGGTTTAGGAGACTTCTGAGAAATGGCTAGTGCACCAGCTAGGCTGAAGAAAGGGTGTGCCTCATCCTCTTTACCCTTTGACTCCCAAGCCTATCAGAGTTTACTTTATCTTTAAGTCATTCCCAAGGATAGGACTTCTTTCAATGTTTGACTAAAGTCTACTTGTTCTTCATTGATTTATCCCCACCGAAGTTAATATTTATCAAAAATGGTTCAACTTTTTATACTTTTGAATAGCTTCTCATGTGAACCCAAATTTCTAATGAAAAAAAAATCCTGCTAGATTTAAAACCATGATTACTGACATGTGACCTATGTCATTGCCCATCAAGGGTAGCTGCCCACGGGGCCACCGGCTAGGGAATATTTAAATTCTTCCAGGCCTAACCTCCTCTGAGGTTATAGAACAGAATGAATTGGATAGATATTGCCCATCAGGAATTGACTGACATTGACCACAATGACCTGTAAACAAAGTTCGTCCATCTGGAAGGATTGCAAACCTGATGCAATGCCTGATAAGCAATACATAAAATAAAAAGCAAAAGGCTAGAATTCAGCAAATATAAAAATAAGGAAGAGATTCAGAAATCATCTCTTAGTAGGAAAGTGAGTCATAGAAACTGTTGTCAAATTCTCCCTTTCAAAATTATTATGACTTTTTAATCAATGAGTTTACCCCAGTTGTAAAAGTGGTACATATCCTTGATAGAAAACTTCAGAAGGACAGAAAAAATATATAAAATGATAAAAGAAAATCACTCATTGCATCCATTTGTAATAATTTGAAATGGCCTCCTTTTGTAATTTGTTTGGGATACTTTTAAAGGAAGGGGCTGTGTTGGTCTAAAACTAGATAAGTAAATGTGACTAGGTTTGCACATGTCATGATGTCTGGTTATTTAAGGAAACCATGGAAACAATGGAAATAATGGAGCCACCGGCCATGAAGGGGCCAAAGGTGAGAAAGGAGACAAAGGTGACCTGGGTCCTCGAGGGGAGCGTGGGCAGCATGGCCCCAAAGGAGAGAAGGGCTACCCAGGGATTCCACCAGAACTGCAGGTAAATTGCTCTGTACACATCCATAGGTGACCTCTAAACCTGCCAAACCACTAGGAATTAGGAGTCCAAAGGTTTAAATTCTTCTTCAGTTCTCATCAATCTTGAGTAAATCTGAATCTTAATTTTCTTGTCTTAATCAATTGATGTTTGCACAAGGCCTGTCCTGTATAAACAGAGGGTTTTTAAATCATTTTTAGGGAGAAGAAATGTATGGATTTAAATCCAACTCCACATTAATCCAAATGTAGTACAAGGTGACTTTAAATATAAACTCATCTGTTTTTCTGATATAAGATAGGTTAAACTAGAAAGGTTTTGGCCAACTTCAATATATAAACTTTAGACATATAAATGCAATGTCTAAATGTGTTCTTTTTTATTAATTTTGCTACATTTATATATGTAAGTCACATGCACAGATATTAACTTATATTGTTTTCTATCAACTCAGATTTTGTGGCTCAATTTTTGTTTATGTTTTTTGCCAATTTTTTCCCTGGGAACATTTGATTTTTGAGCCATTCATTCATAGTTTTCTAGACTAGATCATATTCATTTCAACATAAATGTTTTGAAATCCATTTATAAGGTTATAATTGTGTATTTTATCCCAAACTCAAGTACCATTATTTATTTTTTATTTCTCTTTCAGGTATTCATTAAAAATCTTGTTGTTCACAAAGCACAAAACTTACAAATTTGAAGCTAGATCAGAAAGAAAAATTGTTAAGTCTGGGTTAAAAATGTTTTTTTTTGGTTAGTATTTTAAGACTGGTTCTTTTATGGGATCACTATCAACATTAGTAAACACATTTTGTGGTTGCTGTTATTGCCAGCTTACACAGATATAAGTAACAGAGCTGAGACTCAATCTCATTTTTGGGAGCAAGTAAGTAGTTTTGGTTCCAAATTCATGAGGCTTCTTAGTTGGAACCATTAGCAGTTTTCTTAAACTAATTATTTTCATTGATCTTTTACTAATTGAGCTGAAGCTTTGAAAGTTTCATAACACGTTGCCTATAAAGAATTTGGGAAAAGTCCTAGGAATGACTGCTGTCATTAAATGATCTGTACTCCAATATGACATTTAAATGCAAAATAATGCCAATATAGTTTTACTTTTCCAATATTTAAATAGGTTTCAAGTTTTATCAAACCATATTTTTCATATTCTGGATAATGGCAAGCTTCTTTTCTGCTTAGAGATGATTCATATATCTTTACATTGTAAAAAATTATAGAAAACAGCTGTGTAAGAAAAATGTCTAGAGGTGACTACTGTTAGGAAGTAACTATACAATTTTTCAGATTTATGAAAATCACTTTAAAATATAAGAACATACAGTAAATATTATTGTATTACTTTATTCCATAAATGGCAATATTTCCTCTACTTCTCTTCATGTAAATGAGTACCATTCTATATTTTAAAAATTCATATATATGTTTATGCATGGAAAAGTCAATACATACACATGTGAAAATTATAGTAGTAATGGAAAAGAAAAATTTACTCATGAAAATTCTACACAGCCCCACTGATAGAAATTTTGTGGATATTCTTGCAGATATTTTCTTTAATTTACCCATATAATAACCTCACCTACACAGACACACATAACAAAGTCTGGTACCAAGTCATAATGATCCTGTGTTGCCTACTTTTTAATTAACAAAAGTATTAAAGACATTTTACCATTTTATATGTGTACACTTTTGTACATATACATTTAGATCAAATAATTTCCATGTGTATTAAAATAATTTGTTCTGTGAAAAATTAACTAAAATTTCTGTAAGATTTTTTGGGAGAAAATTAAATGCAGCATTAGTAAAATTAAAAAGTTGTTTCACTGTAGGTTTCTCAGATGCTTTAATATGCTATTATGCATTTAATAGCTACAATCTGATCATTTCATTCAAGTTTCTTCAATATTATTTGACAACAGAATTTTAATATTTCTAAAAGTGTTTTAGTTTATGAGCTACCAAAATGAGCACTGGAAAAGTGTTTTGAAGACCAATGTTCTCTGAAATGTATGTTCAGAACTATTGATATACATTGAGATTCTAACATCTGCATCACATAAAAAGTTAGAAAATATTAGAAATTACTATAATTTATTTCATTCTTTCTCTTTATTTCAAATTTTGCCATTGCAGTCTATGGCCACACCACCCTGATGTGCCTGATCTTGTCAAATTTTGCCATTACAAATAATGCCAAAATAAATTTACTTGTATAAAAACTTTATTACTTTAAGATAAATTGCCTATTAATTGAACATCAACTCCTTCCTTAGATTGCATTCATGGCTTCTCTGGCAACTCATTTCAGCAATCAGAACAGCGGGATTATCTTCAGCAGCGTGGAGACCAACATTGGAAACTTTTTTGATGTCATGACTGGAAGATTTGGGGCCCCTGTATCAGGTAAGGTGTAAAATTAAATTGATAATTGCATCAACCTGGCAATCAAAGAGGAGATCAGGGATCATTAGGCTCCCACAGTTTACTGTATAAACCTTATCAATAGATTGTAAAGCAGCTACTTCATCTTTTTCCACTTTGACGATGAGGGTGTGAAGAAAGCTGATTTTTATAAGTACAGCAGCTCAGAGATCTGGAAATCATAGAGTCAACATGTTGGCTCCCATTTCACTAGCTCCCCTCGCCAAGGCAAGCTATGTGGAGGTGCAGTACATATTTAGCCCGTATTTCCATTTCAAGGATTTAATTTATTTGCCATCTGATTTCTTAGTCTGCTTTTTAAAAATGTTTTTTATGTTTCATAGTTTTCATAGTTTCATAGCTTTTGTGTATGTTTCACAGTTCTCATCTTTTTTAAAAAAACATATAGTTCCCTGTAATTTTGATTCTAACTTTATCTTGCTGTGGCATGAAAAATTGTCTTGTATGTGTGTATATGTGCATGTGTTTATGATATGAAATCGTATAAAATGTAAAAAAACTCAACACATATAAATTGCATTCTTTACATCCTTGTATATCTGACTTTACTTTTCCTCTGCAGGCCAATCTCTAAGGATATAAATGGGCACAAATAACTTTTATATAATTTCCTAGCACACAAAGCATAAACATACTTTTATTTGGTTCAGTTTGAGTCAGAATTACACCAACACAGTTTCTATCTCACTTGATAACAGCTTTGGAAAAGATATAGACTGTGAGTGCTTTTTTCCTTTTCCTTTTTTATGTTTTTGGTTTTTTTCTCTTGCAAGGCCATTAATTTTAAACTGAAATATGGGAATCAAAAGGGCTTGATGATTTATATTCACTTAACTTTCCAAAATGAACTCCCAAATACAAAATTATTTATAATTGGGAAATTTTTCCTTTTAGCTTGTCTGTCTGCTGTTGGACTGGTATTCAATAAAAGCATTTCTGTGCTGGAATTTAGAGGATATTAAGTCCTGTTAAATTGTTTTCCATTAGGAGCCTGGAGCTGTTCTAAGAAAACACATCTTTTAAAATATGTTAGTCTTTTTAAAAATAAGTAAAAGTAGCAGTTTTTTAGTAACAAGATTGTGTTTCTGTCTTGAAGTTGAATCTTTCTATTTATTATACTCAAGTTCACAGATTTACTGTGAACAAAATGAGAAAATACTGGAATTATTCTTTTGAATTATGAAATATTTATTGTGCAAGCCAGTGTTTATCTTCAGCTGACATTTTGCAAGTATAGTTATGCATTATAATATCATACTTGGCTAAGTTATTTAGGCCACAGAATACCATGTACTTATTTATAGGACTCTGTATTTTGTCATTATGAGTCCCATGGTAGAGGTTAATAATAGACAACTGGTATTTACAAATGGGATGGAATTTAACCCCAAACTTTGTGTCAGGACTCAGGTAATGAAAATTCAATTACCACAAGGTAGACTCCCTTAAGACTTAAAAAAAAAATCTTACTAGGGATACACATTTAGATGCTCTCAAATTTTTAAAGCATCTTGAAGGTGAGCAGACACAGGTACACTTGTGCATATAAATATCAAGAAGAAACTACATTCTACATAGAATATCAACAAAAGAAATATGAAGTCTGTGTTATCTTCAAATCCTCAGTGTATGGTATGTTCATACAAACATGGACAAATCCCTGCCTTTTTCAGGTGTGTATTTCTTCACCTTCAGCATGATGAAGCATGAAGATGTGGAGGAAGTGTACGTGTACCTTATGCACAATGGAAATACAGTCTTCAGCATGTACAGGTGGGTGGTCTTTTCTATCAGGGTCTCATCTACACATATATTATCATAATTTGTAGAAAGAAAATCCAATGACAGGGTAATATGTAGGCATCAGCAGAGTATAATGTGGCCCCCGTGTAAGTTAAAGCCCCCATACACCAATATATGTGAGATTATCATGAGTGTGCAGCTCACAATAAATTGGATGAAACTGCACAACAGCAGGTTGATTAGAAACTTGGAGATTATTACTAGCATCACTCCCAAAACCAATCATTTGGATTCTTTTCTAAACTCATTTCTCTCTCTCTCTCTCTCTCTCTCTCTCTCTCTCTCTCTCTCTCTCTCTTTTCTGCTTTCTCCACTCTTCTACCCTTTGCCTCAGGCTTAGCACCGGTGGTAGCTTCTCTCCCATCACCTGCTTGGGCATGTGGATAAGTCTGGGAATCCCTTTCTTTCCCTGGCCCTGATCCCTGGGCTGGGCTGCTGCTTTGAGACTTATGCTAGCAACCTGGTCCTTGGACTCCTTGGGAAAAATTATTTATAAATCAATATTGCACTTTGTTCTGATGGTAGCCTAGGACATGTAACATCTTTCCCATAATTAAGTGAGTTATTGTTATCAGGTAGTCTCCTTCTAGAATAGTTCACCAAATAAATGTTACTGCATTTTAGGCACTTGTGTTTTGGTTTCCAGATTCTTTTCACTTCAAATAAAGAATTGAATGAGACAAGTAAAAAAGGGTACAAAGTTTATTTGAAAAAATGAAAGGTGAAGGGTAAGAGATAAACTGCTTTTGCAGAACAAACATGAGAGAGTAAGAGAGAAGAGAAATAAAAAGTAAAAGTGAAAATAAAGTATACCATGGGGAACATAGGGTAGACTAAAGTGAGGAAAGCCTTGCCAGTAGGCTTTTGATGGTCTGTGTCCTTTTATTTCTTCCACGCATTGCAGAACCTGTGAGAAGTCCATATGCAGGGCTTTGTGAATTATTTAGTGCATGTGTCATGAAATCAGCTCATACTTACTCCTCCATTCAACTCTGCCATGCCCTGCCATCCTGCCTCATTTTGAATTGTCTGTGAAGAATTTTGTGGCTGCTTGTTACATTTTTTCATGTTATTTCTGATGATTTGTGATTATTGTAGTAAGTGCAGTGGGTCCAGGTGTAGGGACCCCAAAACTCACCCTAGCCAATCATGTTTCTCTCTCAGAGAACGGAAGAAGAGTTAGAGAATACCAGTGTAATGCAAAAACTTTATGGCAAGAAGCGATACAAAGCAACTCCAGGGAAGAATGGGGCCATCAGAGCTGAGTCACCACCAAATCTGGGGCAGTGGTCCTGTTTTATGGGGTAGGGACACTGTCTCCACACCCTCTGAGGGTTGACACTAGATTGCTAGAGTTTTGATTCTAGGCTAATAGAGGAATTTGGGCAGCAACCTGCACCAGGAGAGACAGTGTTGTCTACACATAGCCTGGTATCAAAACCACAGACTGTCAGCTCCTTGTAACTACCCAGAAGGCAGTCTCAAAACTATAGGCTGTCAGATCTTCTGTTTGCTGAGATGCAGGGGCTATTTCCTTTCTACTTCTTAGAGGGTCCCAGATTTCTAACCTAACCCTATATGTGTTCTGACTATCTCTACAATTGTTTTCTTCTGGAGCATGGCCTGAAAGGGAGGTTATACTGAGATTCCAAAAGCAGAAAAAGATGACTTACTGTAGGTGAAACTACTGCAATAAATCAAAATATAATGGCTCAAGTATGCTAGAATTGTATTTTTCTTGACAGATGCAGGGCAAGAGCCAGGTTGGGGAAAGAAGAGGGTGGCAGGAAAACTAGAAGACATTGTGGAAAGGTCAGGAGAAGGGTTTTCCTCCGGGATTTTGAGAGACTCAGCATATGAAATCAACTCTGCCATCAATAAAACCGACTTAAAACTTCTTACTGATTATCATGACTGCTGCAGTCAGAAGAAGTAAAGTGCAATAAGCTTCTAGTATTTTTTATGCATCAGACATTGTTTTCAGACAACCCAATCACACTATTTCTGACTCCACCCAACCAATGCAAAGGCAAAAAGGAAACGCCCTGAAGCTCCATATAGAGGAGAGTGTCTTCCAGTGAACAGCCAGCCTTCTCTGACTCTATGGCTTCCAAATCTCTGTTGAACTCTTTTTCCTACTTTAGAATATTCATCTACCCAACTCTACTCCTGTGGGAGATGCCTAATCCACAGTTCATATATCAAGCTCAAAATTTAAGATTCGGGTAATGAATGGTTCTTTTCTTCAAGTCAGTCTCTCTGTTTCTCTTTGTCCTGGATTCTGTTCTCTGGGTGAGTCTTCTTTGGTTTGTTTTCATCCATGGCCATATCTAAAAGGTGAGTAGCCTGTTTCATGGCTCTTTCATAGCCCACTTTCTCCTGTTGTGAATTTGAGAGCTAGGTTAAACATTCTAATCATTTTTAGTTCAGGTTGGGTCTTTGGTAATAACGTACCATTTCCTTAGAAACCTAGGAGGCTTTTGCTCTGATTGCTACCAGTGACATTTGTAAATCAATCACACCCAATGTCTTTTTTTCCTCCTCTGTGGAACTGGGAATTGAACCAAGGGCCTTCATACTGCCACACCCTCAGCCTTATTTTGAGATGGGGTCTTGTTAGTCACTAAATTACTCAGGCTAGGCTTGAACTTGGAGCCTCCTACATCAGCCTCTCAAGAGATCTGGGATAACAGGTGTGTGCTACCAGGCTGGGGTCCATTGCACTTTTTCTGATAGGTGTTTTTTAGCCTGCTATTCTTTTGCTAACTTGTCTTTTCCCCTTATTCTTAATGTAGAGGTAAAGTTACCCTGAGGCCTTTTAAAACAACAGGATTGAGTAGCAAAGCAGCTTTTTCAATCTTGTTAGTCCCCAGCTGTCTGGATTCCATTTACTTATATTTACTTTTGTTTCAACTCTGTCAGTTCTTACCTGGAGTCACCTTTTGTAAAAACACTTAAAGTCCTTTTTCTAATCATTTCCCTTACTTATACTGCATGCATTATCTTTCTTCTTGTTATTACGTTTTGCCATAGCATAAGATAGATCTTCAGATCTCCAGCTTACAGATTTGTTCCCCCATTGCTCTCTGCCTGACCATGAGTCACTGAAACATAGTTTAATTGGATTTGTGGTAGCTCATCCTCCTTTAGTAACAAAGTCCAGATTATTTAGGGAAAGCTAAACTGCTACAACAAAGACTCAGTATAATGGCTCAAACACAGAACTTTCTTTCTTTCTGGTCATAGTCCAAGGTAGAGAATTTGGGTAGGTGTTCCAGATGAGGAGGGGAGCTCTCCTCTGTGTAGTAGTCTTTAATTAAGTACCCAGACTTTTACATATGGCTCCCAAGGTAATTCTAGTCATTACCATTAATGTACCTGACAGTCATGAGGAAGAAAGTGCAAGGAGGAGAGTTTGTGAATTTTATTGGCCAGCTCTAGAAGTGGCATTTGTCATTTCTGCTCACACGCCATTTTAGAGAACACAAAAGAGAAAGGAAGGGTAGATTTTGGTGACAAACCGGCTGTGTACTGGAAAGACTAAGTAGTTTTGTGCCTCTTTTTCTTTCCAGCTATGAGACAAAGGGGAAATCAGATACATCCAGCAATCATGCAGTGCTGAAGCTTGCCAAAGGGGATGAAGTTTGGCTGAGAATGGGAAATGGCGCTCTTCATGGGGACCACCAGCGCTTCTCCACCTTTGCAGGCTTCCTGCTCTTTGAAACTAAGTAAACAGATGAATACAACTCCACTTCAGAGAAGACTTGTAGCTGAGTTGGTATTGCTAGGATTTAAGAAACATACCATATTAAGGGCTCTACAATCTGTATCTACAGAAACAGTTATTAGTTACACCGCTATCATGCTACAAGTCCACTAATAATGTTGGATCACTCAGGGCCTCAGATAAATAAATCACAATGTTGTCTTCCCAGATGGCCTTCACAAATATACTTAGTACCTTTGTCACTCTTTCCCTAGGGAGCTAAAATAGAATTGTCCTTTGATGTAGGTGAGAATTCATTGTTCCCATCAGAGGAGGCACTGCAGGACTGTTGGTGTTATTTGAAATATCAAATATCAGGAGCCCCCCAAATTTTTAGTTCATTATTCTTTATAATATTGCAGAGAATAGGACACAGTGATCACATTGAGGCAGGGGCAAAAATATGGGTGCTTATTTCTAGGTACTGGAAATGTGTACAATCTGGATTGGGAAGTAACAATTTGATCCCGTAAGTCAGTATTCACAAAATAAAGTGTACTTAATTTTTTAAAAGCAATTTCACATAGCTTTTATGTGGTAAAAGTATTTACAATGCCCACATATAACTGGCTCCTTTTTGTAAAGATGTTTCTGTAATTAATTCTTTACTTGTAATGGTTTGCACTTTTAGAAACAGATTTTTCTCAAGATGTATAATTGGTTTTATCAGATCTGGTTTATTAGATTGATTTTTTTTTTTTGCAATTGCACTCTTTGAATTATAGTACCTTTTTATTGACCCTGAGTTGCAGAATCAGCTAAGATAAGCTTAGGTCAATATGAGACAGATGTTAGCACATGCTTTTCTATTAATTTGGAAATCACCTCAATATATTTATGTTTTATACATACTATATCATATTGAAGGGACTGTATATTTCAAAACTAATGCATATAAAATATATAGACATTCCATTTGAGAGACATAGAAGAAAGTATCTTTACATTTTATTCAATAAAAATGACACTGTTGCAGGAATCTCTCACCCAGAGATGGGACACCAATGCTCTTTCCGGGAAGTGGCTTTATTTATGACACCATGGGCCCAGTGGATTCATATCTGTATCCAAATGCTGAACACCCAGCATGGCAGGGGGTCTTGCCTTTTATACACTTCTGGGTCTGGGGTCTTTTTCTCCCCTATATGGTAACACAAAAACAAATGACAGCAGGATTGGGTACAACCCATGTTACAGAGTCAAGCTATAACTGCACATGCATACGTAGGAACTAACTGCACCAGTTGACTTCCTTTACTCTAAGAAGGTCCACATTCCTTGAAGACCCACATTCCTTAAGGGAAAGGCTCTGCCACATTCTTTAGGGAGGGGTCCTGCCACAATATGACTTCCTTGGTTACCATATTTAAGTAATGCTCACAGAGAAGTTTTGATATACCAGGTGTTTCTTTATACCAGGCTTTTGCCTAGCCTGAACATCAAAATCTATCTTCAAAGGTAAAATTTGCCACTAAAAGAATATTTATAAGTATGTGCCATAAGTGCTGAAGATGGGATCCACAATTAGTAGTTTGTTTCAAAAAAAAAAGTATCATTGGGATATATATTTACTCTATTATTAAATTATGTTTAAAGTGAACTAATGAGATGTCTACTTGAAGAAATATTATATAATGATTTACCTTTGAAACAATGAGCCCTTATTTCATTTTCTATAAGAACTTGAATTTCCACATAGGCATTTAAACTATAGATTTCCTTGTATTAATCAACCTAGAGCTAGAGGCTGAAGATGTAAGTAGAGCTCCTTTATTAGCTGACTCAGCTCTTTTAATGCTCAGTTAAGCCTTTGATCCTTTACTTTTGATACAGAAACATGTTAAAACTCATCCTGAATCCATTTGTAATGCTCTTTTAAAGTGAATGGATATTAGCTATCATGTGCTCAATCAGTAGTATTTTGTATATATTTCTTTCCTCCTGGGTTGTGAGGTCATGAAGTTTAGGTTTCCTATGTCAAATGTCTTCATATTTCATAGAAATACACTGCCAATAGGTATTTGAATGTTGCATGTTGACCAAAGAGATTTCATACCTGAAGAGTGTATACTACCTAATAAATGCCTACAGAAAGATTTTGGCGTGGCTTTAGATAAAGCTGTAGCAAGAAAAAATGCATTAACTATGTATATAATATAAATATATCTTTGTTAAATGTATCCCTCTTTAATGTTCTTAATAAAATGTAATAGTCATATAATTGTAAGTAATATGGTTTAAACAAAGAACAGTATTTTCATGCAGACCATGTGAAGAGCCATGCAAAGCAGTGATGTGTGCAGAGAGCAGGGTCACCTGTTTTCCCAAAGCTCTATGATTCTAGCTTTCATTCTAGTAGAGACACCCAAGATATGGTTGTTGGCTGGTGGAAAGCTTCTTAGGCTTGCAAATAAATCCCAATATGAAAAAACCTATTCAGGAGAGAGAAGGAGGCCAAAGTAATTCTCAATGCTTTCGGTTTTACTCATGATCATAATTATATAGTTTTCCTTCCTTGTCTGTTTTGCTTTCTGTGGCTTCAGTTACCCATGGCCAACCCAGGTCTACAAACATTGAATAGAAAATTCCAGAAATAAACAACTTATAAATTTGAATTGTGTGCCATTCTGAGTAACATAACGAAGTTTTGTGCTGACCTGACTCTAATCTACAGCCACGAATCATCCCTTTTTCTATGGTATCCAAAGGATGTAGACCCCATCATCTCATTACTCACTTACTAGGTATCTCAGACTGACTGTTGCCTTATAATGATGCTTGTATTCAAGTACTATTTTATTTAATAATTGTCCCAAAGTATAAGAATAGTGATGCTGACAATCTGGATATGCCAAAGAGAAGCTATAAAGTGCTTCCTTTAAGTGAAAAGGTGAAAGTTCTCAACTTATGGAGAAAAGCAATCATATACTGAGGTCATTAAGAGCTACAGGAATAACAGATCATCTATCTGTAGAAATGTGAAGAACTATGAGTTCTAGTTTTACTGTTGCATCTCAAAGTATAAAAGTTATAGCCATAGTAAACAAGTGCTTAATTAAGATGGAAAGGACACTGAATTTGTCCATGTCAGTGTAGAAAAAAACAACGGCTATATATGGTATCCTGCTGTAATTTGATCTAATATAGCAAGATATATACTCAAATATTATTTGTGCCATTTGAGATATTGAGGAATTTTATTGAGCATATCATGAAAAAAGTTGACATAAAAATAAAATTAAAATAAATTCAAACAGGATGAATATGCAATGGAATTACAAAGGATGTGGCTAGAATTGATAAACGTACTTAGGGAAAGATTTTGTAGTAATCTAGGAGCTACTATGATATTTAGAGTAGAATTCATACCTTTCCTGAGTATTCTCTAATAGTGACTAATAGATTAAGGGGGGCGTCTAGTGGACAAGTTATGTAAAAGAGAGTGTTTTAACAGGCACAGAAAGCAGAAGGTCAGGCACTCCCAAGGGAGATGAACAACATCCAGCTGAGAGAGCATGAAAGAAGCTTGTGGAAAAGATATTTGCTGGCCAGGGATAATTTCTTGCTTTGTTATGCTTGCAGTGTTAAACTATCTTTTTTTCCCTGACTTTTAAAGAATCACTATAGAAAATTTATATATAAAATTTAGTATAAAACTATCTCATCAAATTTAACATTAGCATTTTGAATTAGTTCTTTTTGTGTATATATTTAGGCTTTTCTTTTTAAAATAGTAATGTTATCTTACATGTGCTTTTTATATATCTCATATTTTGCTACAGTTTGACTTAATATATTTTTTTTTCAGCTTTAATTGAGTTTATTGGTACATTTTAGGGATACAGTACAGTTACATTCATTGTTGGGATCTTGTACCTCCACATGACAAGTCTTGATTCTCATTTTTTCCCCTTACCTCTGCCCTCCCTTCACCCCCTCCTCCCCTCTCCATCTGCAACCACTTTATTTCCATCTTTTCATTATCTCACATTTTTTTCTTTTCCCTTATTACCCTTCCCCTAATCCCACCTTCCCTACACCTTTAGCTCCTTTCTTCCCATTTCTAAATGTCAGTAATCTTATTAGGATCTTCTGTATTATTGCACATTATTCACACCAGAGATGACTTAATATATGTTAAGAGCACTCTCAAGTGTTATTTCAGACTATTTGAAAACATAATTTTAATGGCTGAATAACTTAGTTACCCTTTTTGTTCAGAGTTTTTTTTTCTATTTTTAGGGATGTTTTTAAAAATTACAAATAATGTGTTTTGAGCAATATTTGTTAAAAAATACACTATGTGCACATAATTTCCTTTGAATAAACTTCTAGAAGTAGAATTACTTGATCAAAAGGTCTAGGTATAAGGATATTAATAATGTAAAAAATGTGTACTTATGTAAAGAGAGACTTTATCAGAAGGGATTAATGCAGTAAAGGTAAGGAATTACTCAGTATCTCAGCAGTCAGGAAGATATGGACTTTCCATTATGGAGACACAGAAATGAGACTGAAAAAAACCCAGGGTAAGGAAATGGGATGAGTGGGTGGCAGATATGTCAGAACAATAGATGAGGGAATGTCTTTCCCTGAGGGCAGCCTAATTTCTTGAGGGGTTAAAGAGAGCTTGTTGGCTATTTCAGTGTTCCAGGTGAGGTACAATTTATGGTCATGGGGGAAGGCGAAAAGCTACATGATTTTGGTCAAATTGATATAGCTGAGACTGAACAATTCAAGAAATAGTGGCTTGTAGCCAACTATAATTGCTTCCCTTATGTTTATTTTAAGTTGGCAACTGCCTGATGTCACAGTAACATTGTGAGTAAAGAGAAAGACCCTTCCCTACTGGTTTGAGGTCAATAGCATGAGAAAACATAAGAACTTCTCAAACATATGGAAATTGAATAACTCTCCTGAAAAACCAATGTGTCACAGAGGAAATTAAAGAAAAAATTAGACAGTTTTTACAATTTAATCATAATAAAACAATATGAATCTATGGGATACATTAAAAGCAGTTTTATGTGGGGCATTCAGGAGTGAATTCCCACAATAGGAAAGCTCAAATAAATAAACTAATGGTGAATCTTATGCTTCTAGAAAAAGAAAATCAAGAAAAATGCAAAGCTCATACAAGGGAGGAAATTATAAAGATCAGAAAAGAAAGAAATGCAATGGAGACTAAGAGCATCATACAAAAATCAACAAATCGAAGAGTTATTTTTGAAAGAAATAAAATCAATAAACCCTTAGGCAACCTTATTTAAAAAAATGGAAAGAAAATGCTCAAATTCATGCAATTAGGAACAAAAATGGTGAAGTCATCAGCAGAAATCCAGATGATCATCAATACTTACTTCAAGAACCTGTACTCTAATAAAAAGGAGAACACAGAAGAAATGGACAGATTTCTAGAAACATATGAATTACCAAATTTGAATAAAGAAGATATAAAAATTCTATACACCCTAATTACCATCAGTGAAATTGAAAATGTAATTAAAATTTACCAACAAATAAAAGCCCAGGTCCTGATGGCTTCACTACTGAATTCTACAAGATATTTAGAGAACCATTGCCACTACTCTTTAAACTTTTCAATGAAGTTTAAAGGGAAGCAATACTTCCAAATTCTTTCCTGGTTGGGTAGGTTTCTTAATGTCTGCCTTTACTTTGCTCACTGGTAAAATGAGATTGTCTATTAGTATGTTCCTCAAAGGGTTATTATTAGTTACTGTGTATACTATCTCTCAAGAAACAACAACAAAAAATCATGATTAGCAACCCAAAATAATGTACATTCATTATTTCACAATATCCACAGCCAGAGTCCAGGTATAGCTTAGTTGCTTCAGTGTATTTCACAGATTGACATGAAGGCAATGGCTAAGGCTGGGTATCTGAAAGTTCAGTTAGGGACAGATGTGCCCAAGCTCCCTAAGCTTTTGGAAGAATTTATCTTCTGGAAGGCGGATGGATTAAAGGGCTGTGAGGCAATTCTGTTTATTGTATGGGAGCTGCCATAAACTCCCTGTTATGGGGTGATTTTCAAAGAACTACTTATTTCATCAAAACATATAAGCTGTGACAATAAAGAAAGTTGACTAGCAAGAAAAGGTTATAATCTGTTGTGTCCTAACTATGAATGTGACAACCCATTGCCTTTGTGGTATTCTATTGATTGGAAGCAAGTCATTGGATCAGCTCACAGGCAAAAGGATGAGATTACACAAGGCAGGGATGATTTGTGGCCACTTTGATTCAGTTTTCCAACTTTCCCTTTGGGTAGTAAAGATCCATTTGCTCCAACGTGCAAAATCCATTCTTCTTCAGAGGTCCCATTCTGTTATACAGCTCAAAATCCTTAATCTCATTGTCTGCATCAGATCTAAATATGAGTTCAGCTTCTTGGATGTTCTTTTTTTTTAAGCTTATTGCTACATTTTAGGTGTTTTCTGCATCAGATCTAAATATGAGTTCAGCTTCTTGGATGTTCTTTTTTTTTAAGCTTATTGCTACATTTGGGGTGTTCAATACAGTTACATTCATCATTGGGATCTTGTACCTTTACATGATATATCTTGGTTCTTATTTTTTCCCCATTCCCCTGCCCTCCCTTCCTATTTACAAAGACTTTGATTCCATTTTTTCATTTTCTCATATATTTTCCTTTCCCCTATCCTCCCCCACTTCCCTTATCCCTTTAGACCTTTTCTTCCTATTTCACATTATTAATTGTACATTTGGATTCTTATTTACACTTTCAGTTTCTCACACCAGAGAAACTATTCAGTAGTTACACATGTGTGTCCTATTTATTTCACTTAAGAGTAGGCCATGATGTGCATCCATTTAGCTATAAATGTCTCTAGTTTATTATTCTTTATACTGAGTAGTACTGCATTTTATAAATAAAATTTTCATTTGAGAGCATAACATGTTTGTAATCCAAAGCATTTGTATATCAAAGTGAATTTCCACATAAGAAATAATGGAGACTCAGATGATTTGTTCCACAACCCAAAAATATTCACATTGATTATAATATTGTAACATAACAGAAAATAATAAAAGAGAATACCAAATATGAAAAACGAATAAATTGTGGACCAGGGATTTAGCTCAGTGGCACCACGCCTACCTGGCATGCTCAAGGTCCTAAATTCAATCCCCGGAACTGCAAAAAAGTAAAAATAAAAGTAAATAAAAAGAAAGAAAGAAAAATAAATTACACTTGTCTTTGAAAACCTTTCTGCTGTTGTGAGAGAGATATGAGTGAGGAGGATTATTGTGTAAGATGACCTTCACTATCACTAATGAAATCACTGCTATCTACTGGCTCAATGGAATCCTTCTTTTCATGCAATTTTAAGAAGGCACCTATCTGATGACACTTGCTTTTGCCATCTTTTGAGGATTTCACAGAAATGTGACATTACATTGTCATTAAAGAAACTCATCACTCACACTGCTATACTGATTTGGGGGATGTTTTTCTACAAAATTTTATACTACTTAGCATATTTTACAGATCTCCCTAATCTCATTTGAAGTGATGGATTCATCCTCCTTTTCCTCCTTTCCCTCTGAAGATGAGATGTTCCCCATAACCTCTTGCCTTTGAGAGATGATCACCCACAATCCTGCTGCCACAGCGAGGTTCAATTGTGATCATGTGATGTTTGGCATCATGTTCTATTTGTATTGAAGACATGGCTCATATATCAAGTTAAATTTTATTAGAAATGTTTACTCAGCTTCTGGCACACTTGCAGAACAAGTTACAATCCAAGGTTATGCTATAGTTCCTTTTGATTTGCTGATTGTCAAAGGAAGAGTCAAGTGATTGGCCCTCTTCCACCTAATACAATAGTGACACAGGGAAATGGATAGCAAGCATAGACATTCCAATTCAAAATGGGGAAAAGGAAAAAGGGAAAGGAGAAAATAATTCTGAAATCCAGTTGGACAGAGAGTAGAAGTTCCTTGATGTGTAGAACAGGCTGGGCCTCACTGTGAGTTACTCCATGTTGTATGGCATAGTAGCTTTCAAGATGTGCTTTGCCTTGAGTGACTCTTTTTCATAAAACAGTTTTCTCTACTTTGAGTGCAAATGCTGAGGCACAATGAATTGGTAACTTGTCTGTTAGATGTTGAACACATCAAACTTATGGACAAAAACAATTTCCAGATGCACAGCACAATTACAAGGCATAAATTTATATATAAATTAATCTAGCTAATAAATTTCCATCTATAGACTTATCAAATTAAATCAGGGGCAGAGGAACACGTGATGTATCTAAGTTCTATCAAGAAGACAGGCATGTGAACTCATTGGACACACCAGACTGACAAATGCTATATCCCTTTCACCTGGGTTATATAAAAAGAGGGATATTCAACACTGGGGTAGCACTGCCACATTCATTAGACCACCTGGTAAAAGCATCATGAAGCTGACAGACCATAAACTCCTACTTCATCTCAGCTTGGAATTCTGCTTGATTCAGTCCACTTAAACCGCCTGCCATCCAGATTCAAGCTCTGAATCAATTCTGCACTCTCACAAAGTCCTCTGCCTCCTTGAAGAAGCTCTACCTGGTCAGTAATCTTACCTAGCCCTCTCTCATGACTTTCTGTCTTGGCTTTCAGTTCTTCTACTTTAAATCCTATTGCCACCACCAAGCCTTTTTCCGCCATTCTGTAACCTATATCATTGTGCGGAGTGTGATGTATAACTTGAGTGTTATAGATAGTAGTAATTAAGACTGGAATTTTAAAAAAAATTGTTCTGTTCACTCGCTATGAAGTGAACACTTGTCAGCCTGATAAAGCTGACAAAATTCATGCAGCTCTTAAATTTGTTATTCAGTAAAACCTGACATTATGAAAAGACACGAATGTGTCTAGTGCTCACAACACCTAGTTAGCTTTCATGGCCTGTGACAATTCCAATATATATCTCCAATATATATCCTTTTCCTTAAAAGCATAACCACAAAAGAAAAACTCTAAGTGTAAAAGGAAAAAATAATTTAATATCAAGTGTCCCATAAGTGTCTAAAAATATCTTTCTTTGTTCCTATGGTATGTTTGTTTAAATTGTGATTCAAAGCAAGATTTATACATTAACATTTGCTTAATATATTTAAGTCTTTTTAAATTAGTTCAATGGCTTCTTATTATTTGCTTTCTAACAATGTGAATTCAGTTGGTTATATATTTTGGCTTTTTATGTCATATTCCTCTCCCCCTGTATATCCTATAAGTAGGGAGGCAATGTGCTTCGTTAGATTTAAAATGGACTTTTGGGAAAGAAAATCTTTGTGGGTATTGCTATTTACCACACCATACCCAGGGGTACATAATGGTCTAATACTTTTCCATATTAAAGTTGATCAGTTGGGGGCTGGAGATTTAGCTGAGTGGTGCTGCCCCCAGCCTCGCAAGTGCAAGGTCCTGAGTTTAATCCCTGGTACCAAAAAACAAAACAAAACAAAACAAAAAACTTGATCAGTGGGTTCTAGGTGACTCAGTCAGATTTACATATTATAAAGTTCTCAGCTATGGACTGAAATCTTGTATTCCCCAAAATACATATGTTGAAACCCTAATTCCCAATGTGATGGCATTTCTTGAGGGGTCTTCAAGAGTGACTAGGTCATTATAATCTATTCCTCATGGTGAGATTAGGGTCACTCTAAGAAGGGATAGAAGAGAGTTTGCTTCTTTTTTCTCTGCCCCATGAGGACATAAGATGCCAAGAATAGTGCCCTCAGCAAGAAACAAATCTGCCAGCACCTTGATTTTGGAATTTTCAGCCTCCAGAACTGTGAGAATAAATGTCCTTTATTTAAGCCACCCAGTTTATTTTTTTCTCAGCAACCTGAACAGATTAAGATATTCCTTCATTAGCTTCTTGTTTAATGTGCCCAGCAGCTAGTGATGATTCCAGCCTATATCCACTATTCCATTTGGATTTTCAAGATAACTGAACATTTTAAAGGAAGACATTGCTATGGTTTGAATGTGCTTTGTCCTCTCCAAAATTCATACTGAAATTTCCACTGTGGCATTATTGGCAGCTAGGATCTTTAAGAGGCTATTAGGTTGTTAAGAGCCATTAATGCCTTTCTTGAGAGTAAATTCTTACTGCCACAGACACAGAACTATTACCCAATAGTTCCCATGAAAGTGGGTTATCGTGAGGGATCCCCTGAAGTTTGCCTCAAGAACACATGCCTGCTTGCCTTCCCACTTTTCACCATACGTGGAAGCAGTGTGAGGCCTTCACCAGATGTACTGCCTTGGAACTTCCTAGTCTTCAAAACTGTGAGCCAAAATAAACCTGTTTTCTTTAATTTCTGAATCACTCAGTGACAAGTATTCTGCAATAGCAATTGAAAACAGAATAAAATAAACATTTTAAATTAGCTATTATCCTGAAAGATAATTCATATGAGAGGCAAGATAACTGCTTGGATTTTAGAATAACAAATTGGTATCTTAGCAAAATCTGTAATGGTGATTAGTAGTCATTTAAAAAGTATAATTATTAACTCATAAATGTTTACTTGAAGTAATTCAATCTACTACAGGCATTCTAAATTTCACCCTTTTGACTCTGATTTAGGCTGGTGCAACACTTTCACAAGGTAGGAGGAATCTACAAGTCCACCAGGGCAGAGATGACTGGAGACCTTGTAAGTCCTCCATGATAACTAGACTATCATTCCATGACCTTGAATGTGACTCCAGCTCTGAAGATTATTCAGTATCCTGCAAATGCCCAAATCAGCTTCTCAGCAATTAATTAATTAATGAGCTATGTGGTATTCTCTGAATTCATTTGGTATTTCTACCTGATTGATCTAAGAAGCAATAGAAATGAAAAGACCAGTTGATGTAAGAGTGAAAAGGTAGTTCAAAAAACAAGTGTAACATAACATCACATATAAATGAAAAACACAAAATATTATTGTTTGCCAAAATACAGTGTGTAAATAGCACAGCTTTCACATATAATGGAATAGAAGATACACATTAACATTTTTGGAGTGTTGTGAAGATTGTTTGTTTGTTTGTTTTTCTTGACCAGGGGACTGAGGGAGAGCAAGGAAATAAAGCTGCAGGTAGATGTTAATGAAGATGTTAGCTATGGAAGGAGGTAAAAAGCAGCTGATGCAGGACCCATTTACTCCTTTAATACAGGAAATTCAGTGGAGGAGGAAGAAAAAGTTGGGTGAATCTTCTTATTAATAGCCCTTGGACAAACAGATTAATAATAGATTAAGAGGAATAGGATGTTCTCTTGAATGCACTTAACATGATACACCATTACTTATGCTAAATAAATATATAATCTAGCAAGCATAATTCCATAGCTAAGCAATCTCTGGGATATAAAATAAAGCTCATTACATGACTGTGAGCCTCATTAGAGACTTCAACTATCATTGTGGATCAAAAGGTATGCCATAACAAAGTAGCATAGACTGGGTGGCTTAATCAACAGAAACTTATTTTCTCACAGTTCTGGAGGCTGAAAGTTCAGTCAAGGTGCTGTCTGGCTTGGTTTCCTCTGAAGCCTCTCTCTAGCTCGCAGAGAGCCACCTTCTCATTTCCTCAGTCATGCCCAGGTTTTCCATGTCAATGAACAGTAGTCATATTAAGGCCTAGGCATTCAAACTCATTTTAATTACCTTCTCAAAGGCGTCAGCTCTGAGAAGTCACATTTTCACATGATGAGTGTTAGGATTTGAATGTATATGGGTTTTTGACTCAGAAAAAATATTAAAAGTCATGTGAGATTTCCTAGGCCTGTCTCTCCATTAAGCCTTTCAGTGACCTGTATCTGTGAAACTGTTAGTAAAGCTTGATGCTAGGTAAGATTTCGGAATCATGTGAATATGATCCTGCATTTTAGTTCAATGTGTATCTTATTGTTGGTTTTGCAGAAAAATAAACTGGAAGACAATATGATGAAATTTTAAAGTTTAAGTCTAGATGTCTGTTTTATTATTCTTTGCAATTTTCTTTTGCAACTTTCTCAGAATACAAACAAAGAGGAGGAGATAAAATTTGTGCTTCCACAAATGAAGGCGTATGACACAGAGGCAACATGTCAAGCATTAAGAGATTTAGGCAGAATGGTACCTACCTGTAGTTGAGGGCAACTCCTCATAGGGACAGCCGAAAAGACCTTGAAAGGTAACCTCATAAAGAGTAGCTCAAACTTGCCTGAAAGATTTCTGAATTGTGTCCAGTTTTCCCCTTGGTTTTACTCCCCACTTCACATACATAAACCCTTACTTAAAAACCGAGTGAAGGGGTGTTCTGGCTCTGGCTTCTAGCTCTATTCCACATCCTAGAGCTGTAAAATTATGCCAGGCCTTGCACACAGACTTGCACACAGACTATATCGAGTAGAGAGAAAATGATTTCTAAAAGTAGTGGGGCTATTTGTATTTTATTATATATTTTGTAAAGATTGACATTAAAGTTAAACATTTAAAACTCTACCCATAGAAATAGCAGGTGACAAATCAAAAGGACTTTAAAGCTCTCTCATTTAGCCCCAGATAAGCAGCAGTTTGTTTCCCTAGCCCTTTTTGGAGGAGTCTCGATCCTATTCTGTCGCGAGCCGCGACGTTAGGATCCTGCCAGCAGGTCCTAAACCTGAAAGGACGAGGACGGAGAGAAGGGAGGCACTTTTCTTCTCATGGTCCTTGCTTTATTAGCGAACCTCTCCTTTTATACTCTCCAGCTGCGCGGCTGCAAGAGCGTACTGCCCACACATTCCAGAAGGAAACCGTTAAACAGATCAGACCACCAGTAAACCGTTACATGTGCTAGGCAACAGATCAGACCACCAGTTGAACTAGGCCGTTGCTATGGGCGACGGTACGTCCACACTGCTCGGGTGAATCACAGGTCAATATGGCTGTGCTCATGTTGTGTTCCTTTACAATGCTCTCCATACTATTCGGGATAAAATAATCTGATAGCTAAATAGACATTATGGGCCAAGAGGGGGCCCGACAACCCTCAGCCCACGGAGGTGAATAATCTGACACTCTTCTTACCTAATTACGTATTCTTATTTTTCTCAGACTGGGCAAGAGTAAGGGATTATTTGTAGGGCTTGCTACGGTGAAATAAAAGAACCCCGAAAGGGCGGTGACAGCACCGAGCTCTCCCCGGCAATGCCGGCACCCTAGCTAGGGCTGGGAGACCATCAAAGGCTCCTAGCAGTCTCCTGGAGCCAGAGACTCCAGGAACCCGAGTGCGCAGACTCCTCGACCGCGCGCATGCGCAGGGGGGGGCGCCCGCCGAGCGGTGGGCGGGATGTAGGGCTAAGGGAGCGCTCCCGGCGGGTCCTCTTTGGGTCCCGGCTTAGCTAGATCGCGCCTTTACTTTTCTTTCAGGGCTGAGATGGCGCTACTGGGCATCAGAGTCGTGGAGCTGGCCGGCCTGGCCCCAGGTCCCTTCTGCGGGATGGTCCTCGCCGACTTCGGGGCACAGGTGGCGCGCGTAGCGCTCGCTGGTGCTCAACCTGAAGCGGCCTGAGGGCGCGGCCGTGCTGCGGCGCTTGTGTGCACGCGCGGATGTGCTGCTGGAGCCCTTCCGTGGCGGTGAGCCTGGGACCCCAGGACCGACGGGGAGGTCCCCGCCCTTCTTCATCATTCGCCCTTTGCCACGATCTGCTGAAACTTGGATTCTAGATAACTGCTACTGCCATTTCTCCTTTTGCTTCTTTGACTCCTCTAGTTCCTTTTTAATTTTTTCCTAAGCACCTTTCTGCTTGTCATAACTTAAGGATCTAATGAAAGCTGTAGATTCTCTTCCCAGAAATATGCATATAGGTACAAGGTTATTTAGATGCTCAGGGTAGTGGTGTCTAAAGCCACCCACGGCCAGGCTGACCCTTCCTGCCTTAGATGCTGGTATTCCTAAGTCCCAGTTCCAGCTCATTTGTTTATTTTGTACTCTGCTTCCTGGAGCTATCTTACATCCCCGGTGTTTTCATCCTTTATACATAAAAGTTGCCCCGATCTGTAACTGTACTCACTTTTGGAGCACACGTTTCAGTCCTGCATTCCCACCCCTACTGCTCCAAATCCCAAACAGAACCTTTCCCATTTCTTTTTAAAATGACATTACCTCCTTCTGTATAATTTATCCCAGTGAATGGAATCAGTATCTAGCTGCCTGAATCAGAAAGTTGAACTTTGTCCTTGACTCCAATCTTTCATCATACCTGCTTTCATTGATCTTTAATGTTTTCCCTCTGTACTGGTGTGAGAGCCTTTTAAAAACAGTGTAATCTATTTGCAGACATCTGTCAGAGTAGTCTTACTAAAGTACAAGCCCAAAGTATTGTTTGGTAGAAAGTTATTAAATGGAGAATGTCTACAGGGCACCAAGAATATTTAAATGTAATGACTCATTTAGCTCTTAGCAGTCATAGCTGAGGATTGTGGCAATAACATCAGTTTTATAACGTGCCATTTAAAGATAAGAATGGGTCGACATAATTAAATAATTTGATGTAATTAGGAGAATAGAGGTGTAAAAATATATATAGCCAATAGGTGAGGGGTTATGGTTTATGATTAGGATTAATTAGGGTTTGGGATTCAATTATATCCTGAGAAAGATGAGGCTTAAACAGCAATTTTATTGTGTAACCTTTATGACATTTATTCCCAGTTAACTTTAGTTGCCAGTTACCTGGGTTTTGTGCAGTAGGTATCATACTTGTTGACTGTTTCCAATTATTATCCTGGAGCTGCTCTTTCCATAGAAGTTTATGAATGATCTTTTGGGGCTAATGGAGAAAGCATTCTGCGAACCCTGCAGGAGGAGTGCCTGACCTGGTGGGGAAGATAAATGTGTCCATATACTCTGTCATCGTGAAGCAGGAGGTAGTAGGCATTGATGCAGGTGAGAAAAGAGGAAAATGGGGATCATGCTCAGGTGATTGAGTAGATTTAGATATGCCTAGAGGAAATAGAGAAGTGACAGAGGAAATATCATACTGGGTGAGAACCCACACATTCCAGAAATGGTATCCTTTTCTGGGTCCTTTACTACTGGATACATGTTGCAAGCTATAAGCTAAATAAGAATCAGAGGGAGATTCTCCAAAGAATAATGATATTTACTTAGGAATAGCAGAGCATTTCCACATTCCCCTAGTCAACTATAAGCTTAAAGAAGTTGAGGCAAGGGAACTTTTTAAAGGAGGGGTAGATTTCTTAAAATATTATGAAATAATAATCTTTGGCGGCAAGGATTAACAAAAGGGTAGCAGTGGTCAAAGTTTGAACAGACAGTTGTTGGGCAGGTGTCCTCATGGAAGTTTTCTGTAAAGTTGCCTTTGCCTTTGTATAGGTGGTGGTTCTGGTAAAGTCATCTGCGAGTTGTTTTAGTTAGCAGGTGTTGTGTTAGATTTCCATCACTGTGAATATATCAAACTTATAGGAGTAAAGACTTATTTTAGCTCATAGTTTCAGAGATTTCAGTCCTTAGAGGACTCCATTGATTTTAGGCCTGTGCATGGCAGAAGCATAATGGTAGAAGAAAAGCTGCTTACTTTGTGGCAGCCAGAAAGGAGAGAGAAAGACAGACCAGAGTGGAAGGGGCTGAGGACATAGTTCCTAACTAAGGTTACACCCCTATCACCTACTCCCTTCAATTAGATCCTACCCCCTAAGTTTCTGTCACCTCCCAATAATACCATCAAATTATGAGTCCATGAATGGATAATCCACTAGGAAATTAGATCCCTCCTAATCTAGTTACCTTGTGGAAGCCCTATCTTTGAAAATATGAGCATTTTGAGGGGCATTTTATATCTAAACCGTACCAGATATAAATGCAAGAAGTCATCTTTATAACTTCCCAGCTTTATTTGCTTTTGATTAGGGCTTGATAAAAGTGATTTTTAATTTTGGTAACTTTCACAAAGTTTATTCCAAATGTATAAGTGTTACATACCTCCAAGAGTACCTTTTAAGTTGCCTTCATAGAAGGGATCATCCCCATACTCAATTCATGCTCTAAAAAAATGATTTATTTTTTTCTTAAGGTATCATGGAGAAACTTCAGCTTGGGCCAGACCTTCTGCTGCAGGAAAATCCAAGGCTTATCTATGCCAGGTTGAGTGGATTTGGCCAGTCAGGAAGCTTCTCCCAAGTAGCTGGCCATGACATCAACTATCTGGCTTTGTCAGGTGTGTTAAAAATAGTTTTTTCTGCATTTTTAATCTGTTCCCAGTCAAGGTGCACAGTTATGTTGATTAACGGGCATTTTTAAAGGTGAAGTTTGAGTATCATTATCAATGAGAAAAGTATGGGTTGGTTTGGATTTGCAGAACAAACATTTTTAAGCTTTTTTTCCCTCTTCTGAGCACATTTGAGGTATATATCCTCATTGGTAACATTTACTCATATATCTTTGGCATCAAGTCTTAGATGAGCCTCTACAAGGAAGAGATGTGGTAGAAGTAGAGATGATCACTCCACAGTGTGAAAACATTGACATAATTTGAGTCTGACACCCAGTCATGGAGAATCATTGCCTGAGTCACCACTTTATACTTCTGTGAATACTAGAAAAGGCCCATGATTTCTAGGTCCTGCTATCACTCTATTAGAATTCTTTACTATGAGAACATGTCTTAGAATGGGACTAAACTGACCAAAGGAATTGTCAGGTTTTTTGTGAGTACATGTTTAAAAGTTGAGGAAAAAAGTAAAGATGAAATTCATTTTCACATCAATTTAAAATTTATTTCCTTTCTTGTGTATAATTAATTATTCTATCTCTAATTAGACTGAGAATGAATGATATGTTTTAAAAAATAAATTATGATAATAATTTTCCCTCAATCTCAGCAAGTGAAACCTTAATAATAAAATTTTGAAAATGTCCATTGGGATAAAGTTTCAGAATGAAGAAAACCAACAAAACACAGGGCCTCTGTTTCAGGAAAGCTAGTTTATAAGTAGGCTGAATGAATTCATGTTTGAAAAAGCATCATGTACTAGTTTTCATGAGGTACATGGCTACAGATTACTTATTTCTCTGAGTTGTTCATACATTTATTTAAAGGAGACATTGGCTTTGTTTTTAATGCTGTAGGTGTTCTGTCAAATATTGGCAGATGTGGTGAGAATCCATATCCTCCGCTGAATCTGCTGGCTGACTTTGCTGGTGGTGGCCTCATGTGCACATTGGGCATTCTGGTGGCTCTTGTGGAACGCATGCGCTCTGGCAAAGGTCAAGTCATTGATGCAAACATGGTGAGAATGAACAGAGGGGAATGTTCAACCTGCCACTTGTGTCTAAGTGTGATATATAACTACCTCAAATCTTTTTCTGAGTGAGATAAGTGAAATTTAATGTTTGACCCCAAGTCGCCAAGAATATCCTTTGCTGTAAAATGGCCTCATATCCTTCATAGGTGTCAGAATGCCATATTTTAATCATATGCAGAGTCAGTTCTCATGTCTTTGTGACTCACCTCAATCCTATGTTGTATTTCAACAATTTTACTCAAGTTGTCCTTTGTGCTTCACATAAATTTTCAAGTGCTTTTCATTTAAAACTGAGTTTAAGAAATCTTTCCCAGCAGGTAGAGAAGATTCTTAAGGATGCTAAGTAGAATAGGCCTTTCTGTCTACACCTTCCTGCTGCTTTTGGGAGGGGATCCTCCAATATAATGCTGCTCTTTGTGGTCACCTTTGAACATATGCCTCACACTCTACTGGGCACTTTTCCTGTATACTTCCAGTCCTCAAAAACACTTTAATTTGCAATATTGTCATCCCCCTTACTTGTGGGGAATATGTTCCAAGACTCCTAATGTTGCCTAAAACTGCAGCTAATACCAAACCTCATATATTCCATACTTTTTCTATACGTAAACCTGTGCCTGAGGTAAAGTTTAATTTATAAATTAAACACAGTCTTAGATGAACAAAATAAATAATAAAATAGAACAATTATAATGACACATGATTATGAAGGTTATTTAAAACAGTAATTATTTTTATTTTTGGAGTTTTCCTGTTAAAATTTTTATCTTATTTTATTTAGTTAGTAAGTTTTTTGAGATAGTGTCTCACCATGTATCCTGGGCTGGCCTTGAGCTAGTGGCAATCCTCCCCTCAGCCTCCTGAGTTCTAGGATTACAGGCATACACCACCATTCCTAGCTAGTTAAAATTTTAAGACTTCAGTTGACACCGATGACTGTAAGAATAAAAAATGGAAGCATGGATGGGGGGGCAACTCTACATTGTTACAAGGTTTAGACATTTTTCCAAGGTTGCAGAGTGAGTCCAGTCAGGCCCCATCAAGTTTTCATTTTCTTAAATCTTTGGATGTGGAATGGATAATGGATCCCAGGGACATAAGATTGGAGACAGAGAAACCACTTACTGGGTTATTGCTGTGGGATGAGGGCTGGAACTGAAGTATGGATGTTACAGTATGTGTGGATTTAAAGGTTATTGTAGATGTAAAACTTTTAAGATAGATTGGCAGAGATGGAGGAGGGAAGGAATAAAGGATGGCTCCTGTATTTCTGGCTTGGATGATCTAGTAGATGGCATTGTCAGCACTCTGGGAGAAGGCTGCTGAAGGACAAGGCAGTGTGGAGCATTGGTCAGGAACACAGACTCAGCTGCTGACTTCCTCTATCTCAGCTCTGCCCTGCTAACTCTGTGATCTTGGGAAGGTCACTTAACCTCTCTCTGTCTGTTTTCTCTGTAAAATGGAGGTAATAATATTTCAATTTCACAGCATTATTAGAGAATAAATGAGTTCATACATTGTTCAGTCTATAGTGCCCTGTACAAAGTAATCATTCTAAAAGTTTGTGACTGTGATTGTTTCTTTCCTAGAAAAGAGGAATTCAGTTTTGCTCATTTCAAGTCTGAAGTGGCTTTGCCATATCCAGTTGGAATACTTGAGTATTGAAAGAGATTTTTTTACTCACTTTGGAATAATCTGGGAGTCAAGTGAAATTCTGTAGTCCCCTGGGGAGGAGACAGAACACCAGCTTGTAAGGAGTGACTGGGTAGAAGAGAAGCAAGGTCGAGGTCTGCAGGTGGCAAGGGCAGGTGGGAGGGTTGGAGAAGCAGAAGGGAGTGTTGTCATGGTAACCAAGGAAAGCATATCAACAGAAAGGTAATGGCTGAAGGCTCAAATGGCAGTTGACACTTAGATTTAAGTACTAAACACTTGATTAGATCACTGGTGACTTCTTTGCAAAATCCATCTCCCTCTGGAATCTCCTCATCTCTAAGGCCTTGGCCCCTCTTCCTTTTCCTCACAGGTAAACTGTACCCAGTCCTGTTTTTTTTTAATCTTGTCTTGTGATACCATCATGGAGCACTGCTCACATTGTCCTCTATGGCCCTCTCTGAGGTATATTTCAGTAGCAGCAGTGCAGAATTTATCTTTTATCACCAGCTCCTGGCTCTGTGATGGCGCTGCCACATGATGAATAGTAGCATCACTTTGGCACTCACACCTAGTGCAGAGCCTGGTGGCTTCTGTATGGCTCCACTTCTCTCAGCCAGAAAACTTGCTAAGTGAGATAGACTCACTCATTTGGCAACTTCAAGGTGCTAGTGGTCAACTACCTTCTTCTGTTGTAGCAGCTGAAAGGATCTGAAGCACCACCCAAGAAGACTTAACTTCAAAGCCTGGGCTTTCCATAGTTTTCCTCTACTGCCTACTGAGGGTAACGTCCCTGCTGTCTGAAAGGAATCAACTGAAAACAAACCTGGGGCTCTGGAAGTTTTAAGATATATAAAATTAATAATTTATAATTTATAATAATATATAAAATTATAAATATAAAATTAAATATTTACTTTACAAGAATTAAATGACTTACTAAACACATGCTATTGAAATATTTATGACTTGGATGCCCAAGGATGGTCTGCTCAGGTGTATAGGCAATTGGGTTGTATACTTTATTTTGCCTCCTTTACTGAGAAGCTGCTGTTGTTTGCTGAAAGCAGCCTGTTTGCTTTGTCCCATTTGTTTGTGAAAAACTCTCTTAAGTCAGGCCTGACAAGAAGATAGGCATTTTTGTGTGACTGTTTAAACAAACCTAAAAAGACTGCTTTTATATTTGAATTACCTGTGTTAATACTGTGCTCTGCTTCCTCAAAGGTGGAAGGAACAGCCTATCTAAGTTCTTTCATATGGAAAACTCAAATAATGGGTCTGTGGAGCAACCCTCGAGGACAGAACCTTTTAGATGGTGGGGCACCTTTCTACACAACTTACAGGACAGCAGATGGGGAGTTCATGGCTGTTGGAGCACTGGAACCCCAGTTCTACCAGTCGCTGATCGAAGGTAACTGACCATCACATGCTTCCTCTCTTCTCTTTTGCTATGGGTGTTCCTTATTTCTACATATATGAATTATTTGTGGTGTTGGAGATTGAACCCAGAGCTTTGCACATGTCAGGTGAGCACTTTACCACCAGCTAAAACCCCAGCTTACATGTCTGACTTTCTATTAACCTAACAATAACCATCAATGTATTTTGAGGTATTGTTCCTATCTTTTATATAGATGAGTAATTTTACTAGTCTATAAAATAACTCAGATATATTCATTGCTTTTACATGTTCATTACATAATTCAGATACAGTTGGGAAAACTATAGAGCAAAAGAATGGGTTGTCTGGATCATATTGGGTGCCTTCTCAAAATTAAACTAAATGTATGGGGAGAAAGGTGGTTGTGTGGGAGTGCAGACTGGTGCAACCACTATGGAAATCAATATGGAGATACCTCAAAGAGCTGGGACTAGAGGTTCCATTTGACCCAGCCATCCCTCTGCTGGGTATCTTTCCAAAAGAAGTAAAAGAATCATACCACAGTGATATATGTACACCTATGTTTACAGCAGCACAGTTTGTGATAGCTAAAACATGGAAACAGCCCATTTGCCCATCAACTGGAGACTGGATAAAGAAGATTTTTTTAATAAAATGGAGTACTACTCAGCCATAAAGAATGAGAAATTAGAGTCATTCATAGGAAAGTGGATACATATTAAGGATATACTCCTAAGTGAAATAAATAAGTCACACATGTGTAAACACCAAATACTTTCTCTGGTGTGAAAAACTATAATAGTACATAAGATCCTAATAAGATAATTGACAGTGTGAAATAGGAAGAAAAGGGCTAAAGGTGTAGGGAAAGTGGGAAGGGGTAGGGAAAGGTAATGAGGGAAAAGAAAAAAAATGTGAGAAAATGAAAAGATGGAAATAAAGTGTTTGTAAATGGGGAGGGGAGGAGGGGGTGAAGGGAGGGCAGGGACAAGGGGAAAAAATGAGAACCAAGACCTGTCATGTAAAGGTACAAGATCCCAATGATGAACGTAACTGTACTGTATACCTAAAATGTACCAATAAACTCAATGAGAAAAAAAAAAGAAACAAAAAACTAAATATAGAGACTTAATTAAAAAGTATGGACTGGATAATGGTGTATGAAAAATCAAATAGTGGGAACAACACACCTTGGATACAGAGCCTTGGACAGCAGGGACACAGCACACTGCAATTTGTACCATAGCACAGCCTTATAAATATATTCATTGTCTATAGAAAATGTAAATATAATTACATAGTTAACTAGTTACATAGTCCTGTCAGTTTTTATTATCATCTTTCACTAGCACTTCTAAAATCTATTCCTTGAAAAATTTTTGTGGTCTTGAGTTCTAATCAATTAATATAACTATAAAGAAATTAAAGCTTTATCAACACATTTTTATTACTCTTGTTTTAGTAAAAATTACATGAAAGTTCAGAAAATTCCCAGTTGTATTGTCTTATGGTAGTATTTTTTCTGAAAGTTGTAATAGTTTCAGCTCTCAGATTCAGGCTCTGATCCATTTTAAATTGATACCTCTGTACAAGGTAAGGTAGGGTTCAACTTCATTGTTTTGTGGCAGTTTTCCAATTTCCCCACACAATTTGTTGAAAAAATGATTCTTTACTCATTGAATGATCTTGAAATCCTTCTTAAAAATCAATTGACCATAAATGTAAGGGTTTAGTTTGGGACTTTCATTTCCATTTCATTGATCTGAAGGTCTGTTTTTTATTTCAGTAAGTACATTATCTGGATTGCTATAACTTTGTAGTATGTTTGCAATTGGGAAGTGTAAGCTCCCTAACTGTATTTTACTCAGTATTATTTTGGCTATTTATATTCCCTTGAATTTCTATATCAATTTTTATTTTGTTTTGTTTTGTTTTTTGATACCGGGGATGGAACTTGGGATCTTGCACTTGTGAGGTAGGCAGCGGAATCACTGCCTCACAAGTGCAAGGTCCCAAGAGCCTTCTTGTACACAAATAACAGACTCAATGAGAGTAAAATTAAGGAAACAATCCCTTTCACAGTAGCATACAAAAAAATGAAATATCTAGGAATTAATCTAACAAATGAAGCAAAAGACCTCTACATTGAGAACTACAACACTCTAAAAAAAGAGATTGAAGAGAGTATAGGAGAATTGAAAAAGAAAATGGAAAGACATTCCTTGTTCCTGGGTAGGAAGAACCAATATAATGAAAATGGCCACACTTCCAAAACTCCTATACAGATTCAGTTCAATCTGTATTGAAATTCCAATAGTATATTTCACAGAACTACAGAAAACAATCCAAACATTCATTTGGAATCAGAAGAGACCTAGAATAGCAAAAGCCATTCTAGGCAATAAAGACAAGATAGGGGGTATCACAATCCTCAACTTGAAACTATACTACAAAGCCACTGTGATTAAAAACAGCATGATACCAGCAAAGAAACAGACTCAAGGATCAGAGAAATGGATTAGAAGATGGAGAAACAACTCCTGATATACTCAGTTACCTCATCTTTGACAAAAGAGCCAACCATTCTCACTGGAGGAAAGCTAGCCTCTTTAATATATGGTGTTGGAAAAACTGGATTTCAACTTGTCAGAGATTAAAACTAGACCCCTATCTTTCACCATGCACTAAACTCAAACTCAAGTGGATTAAAGATCTAAATATTAAAATAGAAACACTAAACTTGCTGGAAGATAAGTTAGGTAAAACTCTTGAAGACCTTGGCATAGGAAAAGACTTTATGAACAAATCCTCAGTAGCACTGGAACTACCAAAAAGAATCAACAACTGGCATCTCATCTTTTTATAAAGCTTCTGAACTGCAAGGGAAATCACCAATAGAGCTAACAGACAACCTACAAAAAAATTTTTACCAGTTGTTCCTCAGAAAAATGTCTACTATCTAGAATATATAAAGAACTCAAAAAAATGAGGCTCCCCAAATATAAAGACCCACTTTAAAAAAGGGCATCTGAAACAAACATATTTATCAGACAAAGAAATAAAAGCAGCAAATAAACATATGAAAAATGTTAGGGTTGGGGATTTAGCTCAGTGGTAACACTGTCTGCCTTGCTAGCACAAGGACCTGAGTTCGATCCCTGTTACCAAAAAAAGAAAAAAGAAAAGAAAAATAGTCATCATCAGTGGTCATTCAAGAGATCCAGGTGAAACCAACACTGAGATTCCACCTCACCCCAGAAGGAATGGCTGCTATTAAGAAATCAACCAGTAACAAATGCTGGCAGGGTTGTGGGAAGAAAGGAACCCTTCTCTGTTGTTGGTGGGAGTGCAGACTGGTGCAACCACTGTGGAAATCAATATAGAGTACCTCAAACACATAGGATTAGAAAAACAAACAAACAAACAAAACCCAAATAGGATTAGAAGTTCCATTTGACCCAGTTATCCCTCTGCTGGGTATCTTCCCAAAAGAATTAAAAGGATCCTGCCACAGTGATATATACTCACCCATGTTTATAGTGGCACAGTTTGTAATAGATAAAACTTGGGAAGCCCAATTGCCCATCAACTGGAGATTGGATAAAGAAGATGTATTTTTTTAATGGAGTACTACTCAGCTATAAAGAACGAGAAACTAGAGTCATTTATAGCTAAGTAGGTGCACATTGAGGCCATACTCTTAAGTGAAATTAATCAGACGTGTAAATACTGAATAGTTTTTCTGGTGCGAAAAGCTAAAAGTGTAAATGAGGATCAGAATGTATAATTGATATTGTGTAATAGGAAGAAAGGATCTAAAGGACTAGGGGAAGTGGGAGGGGTAGGGGAAAGGTAAGAAGGGAAAAGAAAAAATAGAAAAGAAAAATGTAAACAAAGTCTTTGTAAATAGGGAAAGGTGGAGGGGGTGAAGTGAGGGCAGGGGAATGGGGAAAAAATAAGAACCAAGATACATCATGTAAAGGTACAAGACACCAATGATGAATGTAACTGTATTGTATACCTCAAATGTACCAATAAACTTAATTTAAAAACCCTGTATTTCTTGGTTAAATTTCTTCTAAAACATATTATTCTTTTGATGTTCCCTCCCTTCTCTCCTACAGTTTTAATGACTTTGGCATCTTAAGAGCAACTTACAATTAGTCATTGATGTACAACAAGACAGGAAAAGAAAGATGGTAGAAGTGAGAATAACTTGTTAATTAAGCTGGCTAATCATACACAAAATATTATGCATAAGGAAAAGGACCCTTCATTACATTTGTATTCTTAACCATGCATGTTATTAAAGCATTTTGTATGAGGGAAGAAAAGTGACATTTACACCAAACCCCAAGAAAATGGCTCTTTGGATATACAGATGTGCTTCTTCACTTGTCATGGGGTTACAGCTAAATAAGCCTATTGTTGAAAATATTAAAAGTTGAAAATGTATTTAATACACATAACTTACTGAACAATTTAGCCTAGCCTATCTTAAATATGCTCAGGATACTTATACTAGACTATAGTTGGGCAAAATCATATAACAGCATGTTTTATAATAAAGTGTTAAGTATTTCATGTAATTTATTGAATTCTCTACTGACATTGAAAAACAATACATAGTCATATGGATGTGCTTTCAAACTATGGTAAAGTATAAAAGTCTTAGTCTTTGGCTATCTTACAGGTTCTCTGTTCCTTGTATAAGGCTCCCACAAGCTCTCATTTTACTTCTGTAAACAGAAATGAATATCATTTATAAAAGGACAATCCTGAATTTAATCCTTGCTGGATGTAGTGGCACACATCTGTAATCCCAGCACTTGGGAAGCTGAGGCAGGAGTTCGAGACCAGCCTGGGCTACACAGTGAACTCCAAAGTAGTCTGTTTGTTTGTTTTTGGTACCAGCTATCGAACCACTGAGCTAAATCCCCAGCCTGACAGAGCAGTCTGAACTACATGTGAGACCCTGTCTCAAAAAACAAAACAACAACAAAAAATTCACTGAATTTAATCCTTAATTTAATTTGAATTGTACTTTCATAGGACTTGAATTATTTTAATTCAAAAGACAGATAACATCCTAAGGAAATTTCTTTTTGAAAACTACACAAAGGGAAAAAATCAATTTCTGGACACTAAACCTGAAAAACAGATGACTTTTAATGAAGTGTCAGTAATAAACTCTTGTCAGGGATTATATTGTTCTGAGTTCTGTTACCCATACAATCCCTCCGAGCTCTAGCCATTGGCTCCAACTTTAAACTACTTTGAATTTCTTCTTTTAACTTATTTGAGAAACCTTACAGAACATCTTACTTAGCGTAATATGATAGCCTCAAAATTCATTTTTATTAATTATAATCATATTACCCAGTAATTTAAGAAATTGTGCTTTTCCCACAGGACTTGGGCTGAAGTCTAATGAACTTCCCAACCAGATGAGCCAGGCTGATTGGCCAGAAATGAAGAAAAAATTCGCAGATGTCTTTGCCACAAAGACCAAGGCAGAGTGGTGCCAGATCTTTGATGGCACAGATGCTTGCGTGACCCCCGTGCTGACGCTGGAAGAGGCTGCACACCATCATCACAACAGAGAAAGGGGCTCGTTCTTCACTGATGAGGACCAGCGTGTGAGCCCTCGCCCTGCGCCTCTGCTGTTGAGCACCCCAGCCATCCCTTCTGCCCAAAGGGACCCATTCATAGGAGAGCACACTGACGAGATACTTAAAGAATTTGGGTTTAACCAGGAAGAGATTGGTGAGCTGTACTCAGAGGGAATCATTGAAAGTAGTAAGACAAAATGCAAACTCTGACTTCTAGCCTCACAGCTCCAGTGAATTTGGGTGTTTTCACAATGGAGAATAATTCAGAAAGTGGGATACATGGAAATGTGAAAGAACAGCAATGAAGTGATCTAACTATCCTAATCATGAAACAACTAATGGCTGATTACACAGTAATTGCATTCTGAAAATGATTATCACTAGAGAATCTGATTGAGGAATTTTTTATCTTTTGGCAGTATTTTTTGTTTTCCAGTTAACTTGATAAAATATATTTATTGACCTTAAAATGCTTTATACCTATACTATATTTTAAATGAATCAAGTATTTGTAGTAAATAAATATGCTGTGCTTTTAAGTTTATTAAAAGTTTTCATGAAAGCCCTTTTATTTAAATGGCATTTTCTGATAGAGTAAATATTTTTGGCTGTATCATTCACCAAAATGAATGACCTTAGACAATACTGCCCCCTTTTATATTCACGCATATCAGTTGTAAAGATTAATGATAATTCATTTTGGCATTTGCACATGCACATAAGATACTTGGATTATTTTCATCTGTCCCCCTCTTTTCCCTTCAATGCTCATCTCATTTCATTCCTCTTCTCTAATAGTCCTTCTACCTTCATAACATCTGTTTCTCTTCTTGTTTTGTTTAGATTCTACTTATGAGAAGAAATATGTAATATTTGTTTTGTCCTTCCAAATCTAGTTTATTTCACCTAACAGGGTAACTTCCAATCCATCTGTATTTGTGCAAATGACACGATTTTGTTCGTGTTAATGGCGGAGTCACAGTCCACTGTGTGTATGTATCACATTTTTAACTCATTCATTGGTTGATGACCACTTACGCTAATCTTATAGTCTAACTTTTTTGATTTGGGCTGCAATATACATGGGCACTCAGCTGCCTCTTATAGCATGTTGATGAATTCCTAGTGAATGTCCTAATTTACATTCTTACCAACAGTATAGATGGATTCCTTTTCCCCTGTATCCTTGCCAACATTTATTTCTTTTTGTATTCTTTAGTGATAGCCATTCTGACTGGTGTGAGGTAGAATCTCATTGTAGTTTAATTACCATTTCTCTAAATGCTAAAGATGTTGAACATTGTTTCATATACTTATTGCCCATTTATACTTCTTTGAGAGGTGTCAGTCCATTTGCTCTAATTTTTGTTTTTCTTTTTTTTTTTGTGCTTTTCTGTTTTGGGGGTTTTTTTTGGTTGTTTGTTTTTGTTTTTATTCTGGATCACATTGCTATGTCAGAAGAGTACCTGGCAAAGATTTATCTCCTATCCTGTAGACTATCTCTTTACTCAGTTGATTGCTTTCTTTTTAAAGAAGCTTTTAAAATTTGTTAGCTCTTGTTGATTCTTGCTTTTATATACTAGGCCTTAGGGTCCCAATTCAGGGTGTCTTTGTCTGTGACTGAGTTGAAATGTTTCTCCTGTGATTTCTTTAAGAAGTTTCAAAGATGCACATGTTATACTCAAGTCATTAATTCCATTTAAAATTGATTTTTATTTTTTAATTGAGTTTATTGGTACATTTTAGGTATACAGTACAGTTACATTCATTATTGGGATCTTGTACCTTTACATAACAGGTCTTGGCTCTGATTTTTCCCCTTGTCCCTGCCCTCCCTTCACCCCTCCTCCCCTCCCCATTTACAAACAGTGTATTTCTATCTTTTCATTTTCTCACATTTTTTTCCCTTATTACCTTTCCCCTACCCTTCCAATTTTCCCTACACCTTTAGCCCTTTTCTTCCCATTTCACATTGTCAGTTAGCTCATTAGGATCTTATGTACTATTACAGTTTATTCACACCAGAGAAACTATTGTGTGTTTATACATATGTGACTTATTTATTTCACTTAGGAGTATATCCTCAATATGCATCCATTTTCCTATGAATGAATCTAATTTCTCATTCTATATGGCTGAGTACTATTCCATTTTATAGAAAAAAATACATCTTTATCCAGTTTCCAACTGAAGGGCAAATGGGCTGTTTCCAAGTTTTAGCTATTACAAACTGTGCTGCTATAAACATTGGTGCACATATATCACTCTGGTATGATTCTTTTAGTTCTCTTGGAAAGATGGCTGGGTGAAATGGAACCTCTAGTCCCAGCTCTTTAAGATATCTCCATATTGACTTCCATAGTGGTTGCACCAGTTTGCACTCCCACCAACAATGGAGAAGGGTTCCTTTCTCCCTTTAGCTATTACAAACTGTGCTGCTATAAACATTGGTGCACATATATCACTCTGGTATGATTCTTTTAGTTCTCTTGGAAAGATGGCTGGGTGAAATGGAACCTCTAGTCCCAGCTCTTTAAGATATCTCCATATTGACTTCCATAGTGGTTGCACCAGTTTGCACTCCCACCAACAATGGAGAAGGGTTCCTTTCTCCCTACAACCCCGCCAACATTTGTTATTGTTTGATTTCTTGATGGCAGCCATTCTTTGTGGGGTGAGGTGGAATCTCAGTGTTGTTTTCATCTGCATCTCTTGAATGACTAGTGATGTGGAACATTTTTTCACATATTTACTTGCTACTTTTACTTCTTTGAGAAATGTCTGTTCATTTCAGATGCCCATTTTGAATTGGGTCTTTATATTTGGGGGGGCTACTTGTTTTGAGTTTTTTATATATTCTTGATAATAGTCCTTTGTCTGAGGAGCAGCTGGTAAAAATTTTTTCCCCACATTGTAGGTTCTCTTAGTTCTGTTGATGGTTTCTTTTTCAGTTCAGAAGACTTTTAATAAGATAAAATCCCAGTTATTGATTCTTTCTGCTAGTTCCCGTGCTACTGAAGATTTGTTCATAAAATCTTTTCCTATGCCAATGTCTTCAAGGATTCTACCTAACTTATCTTCCAGCAAGTTTAGTGTTTCTGTTTTAATGTTTAGATCCTTAATCCACTTGGATTTTAATTTAGTGCATGGTGAAAGATAAGGGTCCAGTTTTCATCTGTGGCAGGTTGAAATCCAGTTTTTCCAACACCATTTATTAAAGAGGCCATCTGTCCTCCAATGCGGATGATCAGCTCCTTTGTCAAAGGTGGTGAAGCTGAGTACATCTGGATTTGCTTTTGTATCTTCCAGTCTGTTCCACTGATCCTCAGATCTGTTTCTTTGCCAGTACCATGATCTTCTATCACAGTTGCTTTGTAGTATAGTTTCAAATTGGGAATTGTTATGCCCGCTGTCATGTCTCTGTTGCCTAGGATGGCTTTTGCTTCTAGGTCTCTTATGGTTCCAATGAATTATTGGATATCTTTCCACTTTCTTATATACTCTTTGATCTCTTTTTTCAGAGTGCAGTAGTTTTCAGTGTAGAGGTCTTTTGCTTCTTTTGTTAGATTGTTTTGTAGATACTTCATTTTTTTTTGGAATCTATTGTGAAAGGAATTGTTTCCCTAATTTCTCTCTCTGTGAGTCTGTTATGTGGGTACAAGAAGACTATTGATTTTTGGGTGTTCACCTTGTGACCGGCTACTCTACTGAATCTGTCAATTAAGTCTAGAAGTCTTTTGGTGGAGTTTTTTTTTTTGAATATTCAGTGTAGAGTATCATATCATCAGCAAATAATGACAGTTTAACTTCTTCCTTTCCTATCTTTATTGCTTTAATTTCTTTCTCTTGTCTAATTGCTGTGGCTAATGTTTCCAGAACTATATTGAAAAGGAGTGGTGATAGTGGGCATCCTTGTCTTGTTCCTGATTTTAACATGAGAGTTTTCTGGTTTTGGCCATTTAATATGATATTGGCTGTTTGTTTTTCATAGATAGCCTTTATTAAGTTGAGATATAGACCATGTATTCCAATTTTTTTCAGGGTGTTTATCAAGAATGGGTGTTGAAGTTTGTCAAATGCTTTTTCTGCATCTATCGAGAAATTTATATGGTTTTTGTCCTTGACTTTGTTAATATAGTGTCTTACATTTATTGACTTATGTATGTTGAACCATCCTTGCATCCCCGGTATAAATCCGATTTGGTCAGGGTGTATGATCTTCTCAATAATCCTCTGTATTATGTTTTCTGGTATCTTATTAAGGATTTTTGCATCTATATTTATTAATGAGATTGGCCTGTAGTCCTCTGTATTCTGTTTGCTAGTATCTTATTAAGGATTTTTGCATCTGTATTCATTAAGGAGATTAGCCTGTAGTTCTCTTTTTTAGTTGCATTTCTCTTTTTTAGTTAATTTCCCTGGTTTGGGAATCAAAGTGATACTTGCTTCGAGGAATAAATTTGGAAGTATAGCTTCCCTTTCAATTTCATTGAAAAGTTTGAAGAGTAAAGGCAGTAGTTCTTCTCAAAATGTCTTGTAAAATTCATCAGTGAATCCACCAGGGCCTGGACTTTTCTTTGTTGGTAAATTTTTAATTACATTTTCAATTTCACTGACTATAATCAGGGTGTTTAGAATGTTTTTATCTTCTTTGTTCATCTTTGGTAATTCAGTCCATTTCTTCTGTGTTTTCCAATTTATTAGAGTACAGGTTCTAAAGGTAGGTATTAATGATCCTCTGGATTTCTGTTGGATCTGTTGTGACTTCACATTTTTCATTCCTGATTGCATGGATCTGAGCCTTTTCTTTCCTTTTTTGGATAAAATTAGCTAAGGGTTTATCAATTTTATTTATTCTTTCAAAAAATCAACTCTTCGATTCATTTATATTTTTGTATTGTTTTCTTAGTTTCCATTGCATTGATTTCTGCTCTAATCTTTATAATTTCCTGTCTTCGAACTTTGGGTTTTTCTTGCTCTTGTTTTTCTAGGAGTCTAAGATTCATCATTTGTTGTTTATTTGAGCTTGCTCTGTTTTCCTAGTGTGAGCATTCAGTGCTATGAATTTTCCATGTAGAACTGCTTTCATTGTGTCCCATAGATTCCTATATGTTGTATTGGCATTCATTTATTTGTAAAAACTGTCTGATTTCTTCTTTAATTTCCTCTGTGATCCATGGATTATTCAGAAGAGTGTTGTTCAATTTCCATGTGTTTGTGAAATTCCTACATTTTCTTATGCTATTAATCTCCAGCTTAATTGCACTATGATATGATAATATAGAAGGAATAACTTCTTTTCTTCTGTATTTATTCAGACCTGTTCTGTGAGCTAATATGTGGTCTGTCTTGGAGAATGACTCATGTGCAGCTGAAAAGAATGTATATTCTGATTTTCTGGGGTGGAACACTCTATAGATATCTATTAAGTCCATGAGTTCCAA